GGTTGCCCGGAAGGATGGAGGCTATGGAGCCCAACGTGTCTGGCGGATCCCATTCGACGCACGACCCTATTCAGATAGTGTGACTGGACAGCTCATACCTGCATTTAATCCCTGATCGTTGCCTCTTCATTCATTCATGCCTTGGAAGAAAAAGAAAGGGTGAAGAATTTATTGCATTGGGGGTGAGGCGGTTTTCTTTAATAAAGAGGGGATTCGTCTGGGTGGGGGTAGGAAATTCTCCGGTTTGTTTTGGTTTTGGACACTTTTTTAGGGATTGCAGTGGTGTGTTGATTTAGTGATTATTCTTGGAATCTTGGTTAAAGAGTAAAAGAGAGTTGAGCAAAGCAAAGCAAAGCAAGAAGGAAAGAAAAGAGAAAGGAAAGGAAAGGAAAGGAAAGGAGAGACTAGCGGACGAACGACCATGCATCTAGATCCCATCGATGAGACGTCGTCGTACATGGACGGCGAGGTTAGGGAATATCCACAACCGACGACAAGGTTCGATTGAAGCCCTCATTCATTCTTTTATCCATCACCAAAAAAAAAAAAAAAAAAAAATAGACGAATTGCAAACACGGCCAACTAACGACTCAAAACCAGCCCCTACAAAGCCCCAGTCGTGACTCTCATCATCGGTCGAGATGAATACATCATCCCAGAATTCTACCTGCGTCAATTCCCCCAACTACGGAGAAGTCCCAAGACTTTCGAACAGGGCTACAATCCCAGTCTTAAATTCGTGTCTAGTCTCGACGTTGACGAAGACATCGGCCATACCCTTGTTCACTACCTCTACACAGGCGAATATGAAACTCTCCGCGATGGACCGGACCCCAGCATCCCCAGACGAACGATAGAATACAGACGTAGCGCATTTGCCTACCTGGCGGCGAGGAAATATGGTCTCGGTGGGCTTGAGGCACACGCAAAGCATTACATAGAAGTGTTTGATCGTGATGTGCCCACTCCAGATATTCTCCGCATTGCTCGGAGTATCTATTCCAAGCTCCCGCGGGACGAGACGTGGTTCCAGGATTATATACGAGTGAAGATGGAGGATGAGTTCGAGGCCGACGATGCCGTGTTCAAGCGGGAGTGGTTCCTCAATGGAATTGGCCGGGATGCGTCATTCGACCGATTAATCGTGCAGATTATGGCGGAGATCTACTCGGAGAAGTTGGCGACGGTTAATTTCCGGAGACTCGAGAACGGACGACATATTGTGCATTCCATGGCGAATGGGGATGCGGTACGCATCTCTGAGGAAACTATTCATGAAGAGCCAGCGTTTGAGGATGTCGTGCCTGAAGTCGAACCCGGCCATGGATACGATGGATCGACGGAGGACGAAGGTACCGGTGAATACAGTGGGAAACGACAGCAACAGGCAGAGTCAGAGCCAGTAAGCGAGGACTGGCCGCTGACTCCGTCGCCTCCACCCTCGGCCTCACCGCATCCTACCGACGAGACCATCGCCGTGGATGAGCAGCCTTCCTTTCCGAAGCCTGAGCCCAAAACTCACCCCGAGCCCGACGCAGAGCGCAAAGATGACGACGACTGGGGCGGCGCCTGGGCCCCGCTCCGGAAACGGGATAAGAAGAAGAAGAAAAACAAGAAGCTCAAGATCGTCGAGCCGGAGACTGAACCCAGAGCGGAACATGCCCCGACGGAAAGGTGGCCGGAGGTTCGCCAGGCTACGTCGGATGAGTCGTATGGTTTTGGGCCGCCGACGCCCTTGAGTCCGGTTTATGAGGAGGAAGTTCCTCTGCCTTTGAGGCCGGCTTCAGCATCTCTTCTAGAGGGACCGAACTATTGAGAGTGGTGGTGGTGGTGGTGGTGGTATATTCAGATTGTATATATTTTAGAACATTTTCCGTTTATTTTCCTTCTGAGTGTTTTTATTTCGGATATGGTTTTGCAAAAAGGTTGCCTGGTATTATAAAGATTGAGCATAGCTTTAGATTGAAATTTATATTTCTGTTTAACTATTTAGTCTAGGGCGCAGGGTGGAGCTTCTATCATAAAGTCGTATTAATTTGATACAAGGCACGTACTCGAATTTTATGCTGATGATTGAGATGTAAAGAAGACTATCGGAGAGAACGAAGCTTTAATACGGAGATATAAGGGGACAGGCACTCACAAAGGTCTCATGGATGGCATTCGTGCCATAGATGCGTTTCGATCAATCGCAAAGTACGGGCAAACTTTCCCACTCACTCCAGTGAAACTCTAAAGTATCAATTGCCAGCAAAACACAAACTATTTGGAAAGGAACATTCACAATATGCAACCATGGACATGTCTCTTGGCCATCCCAAGCGCTTTGTCAATGCCTCTATATGTCAGTTGCAATGCCTGAGATAAAGTTTTACTTAGTACGATACGTCCGGATACTCGAAGCTTGGGATAAAATGCACAAGTGCAATATTGCACCGCCTCAGTTCCAGGGCTGAATGGGATAGGGTCAGTTCACGAGCTTGGAGCAGTAGGTTCTCTAGTTCCGTCGAATCAAGATGTCGATCGGGATCCAAGGAATCAGTCAATCGCCAGATAGCTGTCTCATGTATTTGCAAAATTACAGCATTGATGCTGGCCGTCGGATTTATGCTTCATGCTCCTGCAGACAGAACAGGCGTGTTTAATTTTGGTGGACATTGTTTGCTTTTCAACTGAGGTTTTTGAGAACAGAGATATGAGAGGCTAAAGCAGAGAGGAAAGTCAAATATTTTATGCGAATGTCGAGGTAAGTATCTAAAGAAATTATAGAATATCGAGTATGCCAATCTCTAATGCCCACCAGCCTCCAAAGCCTCATATAAACCCTGATACAGCTGACACCGCCCATCAAGCTCCTTAGCATCAACAGTTTGAAACAAACCCTGGGTCACATCGTCTCCTTCAGTCTTCGGCCCATCACCAAAAATCCCAACCCGAGGGACAGTTTCCCAGCCGGGTCCGGCAGACGGATTCTTCGCAAAGTCAGCCCAGGTTTTCTGGATTACCTGGCTTAGTTCCTTTTGAACCTTCGTGGCCCCTTTTTGCGTATACGTGCCGAAGACCATCTCAATCTCCGCCGAGTGAAAGGCCCCACTACCAGCTAGTGGATTTGCGTTCGGAAAACTGGCATTAAAGTAGTATAGCCAAGCATCAATACCCACGAAAGCGCTGTCATTAGCGACGCGCTGCGAAGGGCACTGAAACCCAACTTCAGTCAGGATTTTCGCCACACGATCGCGTTCAGTCTTAACTCCCAGAGTACCCAGCGGGTATTCTTTCAGGATGGCTTGAACCAGAGTCATATTATTGCCTAGAGTAGCACTGAGAAGGGTGTGGGCTTCGGTCGCATTCTGTCCAACGACAAATGTTTGGCCTTCATCGGCATTGCTGCCGATTAATAAAGGCACACGGGCGATCTTAGACGAGCCATCCGTAGAGTTCTGGCGGTTCTGATGTGGATTCTTTGGCCATGTGATTCCATCAGGAATCGGGGAGAAGGTGAGCATCTTCCGTTCGATGATATCTTTAAGTTGCTTTGCGGGAATAGCACGGACACATTCAAGCTCATTCTTATTCTGGCAGTTGGTAGCGTTGACTAGAGCCTTCCAACCGGACCCGGCAGTGGCCGCCAGCAGCGTTGATACGCCGGATTCCATGATGCCAGCATGGAAAGGAACAGGATCTGGAGGACTTGTAATGAGAGCCTCCACACTCATGGATCCGGCACTTTCGCCTACAATGGTGACTTTGCTCGGGTCTCCGCCGAAGGCGGCAATGTTTCGCTGGACCCAGTCGAGCGCAAGACGTTGGTCGAGCAATCTTATACTATTGTCAGCATTGGGCGTGTATTAGCTGATAGTGAATTGTCTTTTGACTCACCCCAGATTCCATTCCGATTCAGGTAGATCAGGAGAGCCAGGGAAACCGAAGACATTTGTGCGATAGTTGCTGGTAACGACCACTACGTCCTCGTTTGCCGCAAGACTGGTGCCATCATAAACAGGCAGGGAACTGGCCCCAAGCACAAAACCACCGCCGTAGATCCAGAAGAGGACAGCCTTGGAGCCCTCTGCTGCTGACTTCGGGGCAAATATGTTCAGGTGGAGACAGTCCTCACTTTCTTCGCCGCCTCGAGGCGGAGGCGTGTTGAATACCGCGATGGACCGGTTCCGTGAGGCCTCGGGGTAATTGAACTGCTGAATACAATCGGGTTTATACTCCGATGCATCGTAGACCGAAGGCCATGGTGCAGGAGGCTGGGGAGGGCTGAAGCGCACAGGAGGGGCACCAAAGGGAATCCCGAGGAATTGGTTAACTGTAACAGTTGAGGACGGAATGGACGTTGTGGTTCCAGCGACAACACCTGCGTCGATAGTCACGGTGGGGCGACTGTCTGTCTTATTGACGGACGATGAGAGGGCTATACTCGCGACAAGGCCGAGGGAAAATTGTGTAGAAGGTATCATTATGGAGGAGAATTACCAATTGCTAACACCAACCAAGGCTGGCCCTATGTACCATTAAATCCCCCCCCCTAGAATATGACGACAGATATTGACAATAGGCGAATACGAGGTTTTCAGGCGTCCCAAAAGTTGATGATCTCATCAGCCTTCTGCCCACCGGTATCTTCGACGCGTCGATCTAAGCCAAATATGCAACTTTAACTTCGCGTGACTTGGCGGCAGATGTATCCAGCCCTCTCTATTCAATCGGTATGCTTTTAAGCCTGAACTGTACGGAGTACTGATCGGCTTTATTGAAGGGCAACCAATGCTATCCTTGGCGGACGAAATCCTGACCCACTATGAACCTATTTTATTTAGTAAACTGACTTGCTAACTCTGGCACTTTGAAGGGCCGCAGTCAGACCGGTTGCAGGCAATGGTTCATTAGCGAAAGGCTCAATAACCTCACATAACCGAGTCCGAGGATTCATATACTCGGCAAAGGTTGCAGCCACTTTTGATAGCGCTTATTCACGTTTACTTAAGATGGTAATAGGACAAGTATATCTTGTATGAGAGCTTTAGGATTCTAATAGTATCCTAGCGCTTTCGACTTCTTTTATCTCTAGAGAAGATTTAATATAGTGGGTATAGTAGAGTCTACTTTATGTGAATTATACAGCCGAATTGCTGAGAGACCCCGGCAAAAACTTACCTGATATATATTTTACAAGAGCATAAGCAAGTATCATCTATCCTATGTAAAGAGGGATACTGCGGAGGTAGCAGACTAGCAGTGGTAGAGGCCCGGTTCCTGCGCCTCCCCTTTTCTAATACCTGGTATCTGGTCTGAACATGCTAGATTGAGCAGATATTGTCTATGTTTGCTATTTCCTGGGAATTTGCTTACTTTGGGTAAAATATTATAAACCAACTTAGTCGATGCATATATGCTATCTTCTGAGTATTGCGAGTTTTGATTGCAGAAATGGATGAACTATGGAAGCACTGGTATGATAATGTAGACTAGATCTTATATACACAGAGAAAATTAAATAGGAACTCGGTTATTTATACAAGGCTTTCGTCCAACAACGTGAAGAAAGCATCGGTACTGACTAATATAATTTTTTTTCTTCAAACCCACATAGCTCTGTGTTGATGCAACTTAGATCTAGGCATCGTGTTCTACCAATGATAAGATGCCGTATGATCAACCCCAGTGTTGATGGTACGTAACTCGTATAGGCCTTAGATATATTTTCCTACATCTCGGACTATCTTATGTTTTCCTTTGTATTTTAATTCTTTCCTTTCCATCTGGTTTTGTATATCTTGCCTTTCTACTCTTTCTTCATTCTTTTTTTCTTTTTCGTTTTGTTTTATTTGCTTTTTGACTCAGTTCTAAATTAGGCATTGTCCTTCGATAAACATCAGGGCAATTTTCAATGTACATTATAGTTTCTACTAAAGGTCTGGAAATGTTAAAATGGTTACATATATTAGACCTATGTAGGGCAAGTCGATCAGGTGAGGGCTGGACGTGAGTCGACCGCTTTGGCATATGCATAGTCCACTCACATTGTATAAAACCAAAGCCCCTAACCACGATTGACGTATGGGAATAAAATAATATGTATGATAACAGCAGCCCCTAGACGAAGCAACGCAAACGGACAACCTATGACCGTGACAAAGTGGACCTTGATCATCACAGCACTTGTTGCAATATTCAAAAGAATAGTCCAGACCATGTCCATAACAGGAATATTATGCATATTATCCTCGTATGCTAACCTCGGAACATACATTGACCGATTACAGCTGAAAGGGTAAGTGAGGGGTTCGACCCATGGAAGTAACGCTACATATCCACCGCACTTGAAGAACAGGGATCAGACAGGAGTTATGAGAAGGAAATATGGGACGAGAACAACGCGACTTACGCATGGCCCTTGCTCATTGGTCTATTTATAAACCACTTCGCTCATCGTGCGCCTTGACGGCAGATATTTCTTCGTACTGGCCATCATCTTGAAGCGTTTCTCGTCGGGGTGCAGGGGTTGTGCTGTATGATAACGTGCTTAACAGAATAGAGTGGATACCGGTGGGATTGCTTTTATGTTAATGGTATGTGACGGTAGGGCCTGATTCTTTGATAAATTGCGGGGAGTAACCGCCTGTTGTGTACTGGCTGTTTCTTTTCTCAACCTTGCTGACTGCTGACATATGACGATAGAATTATGGCCCAGGAACACCATTTGGATGCCCTCGTCGTGGGTGCCGGTTTTGGTGGAATTTACATGCTCTATTCCCTTCTCAAGGAGGGTCTGAATGTTAAAGCCATTGATACAGCTGGTGATGTCGGTGGTACTTGGTACTGGAATCGATATCCCGGTGCCTTGAGCGATACATGGAGTCATCTTTATCGATTCCTGTTTGACCACGAGTTCCTGCAAAGCTACCCCTGGAAGAAATGGTATCTCACCCAACCCGAGATCATGCAGTATCTCCGCGACGTTGTGGAAAGATACGACCTCCGCAAACACATGCAGTTCAACACCAAGATGCAACGGGCGGAATGGAACGATACGACCAAGACCTGGAAGGTTCAGTGCGAAACAGGCGACGTCTTCCATGTGCGATACCTCTTCTCGGCGCTTGGACTACTGGTTAAAGCCCAGTACCCCGATATCCCGGGGATAGCCACATTCAAGGGAGAGATCAACCACACCTCAGCGTGGAACCCAAATATGGACCTCGAGAATAAGCGTGTCGGTGTTGTCGGCGTTGGATCATCGGGTGTCCAGGTTGTGACGGCCATCGCTGACAAGGTTAAATCCCTTCATGCATTTATCCGACGCCCGCAGTACAGTGTTCCCAGTGGGAACCGGGAGGTTACGCCGGAGGAACGTGCACTGGTCAACAAAAATTATCCAGCCCTTATCGCAGATGCCCGTACCTCCGTCTTTGCTATGGGTACAACAGAGCCTAAAAGAACATTCATGTCACTGTCACCGGAAGACCGCGAGGAGCTACTCGAGCAGCTATGGAAGACCGGAAATGGCTTCCAGTTCATGTTTGGTGGGTTCTCCGATATTGTCACGAATGAAGCTGCGAATGAGGGAGTATGTCAGTTCCTGCGTAAGAAGATCGCCAGTATTGTCAAGGATCCGCAAAAGCGAGACATCCTGACACCGAAGGAACTCTATGGACGTCGACCCCTGTGTGATGGTGGATTCTATGAGAAGTTCAACAAGGAGAATGTTTTTGCGGTGGATATCAAGAAGACTCCTATTACGGAGGTTACACCCAACGGCATCTGTACGGCCGATGGCACGATCCATGAGCTCGATGTTATAATCTTTGCGACCGGGTTCGATGCTGTGGATGGCACTTATGCGATGGTTGACATTCGCGGCCGCGATGGGAAAAACCTGTATGATCTGTGGAAACCATCAGGCCCAAGCACTTATGTAGGGATGTCTGTGCATGATTTCCCAAATCTTCTTCTAGTCAATGGGCCGCACATGGCTTTTGCCAATATTCCTACGTCAGCGGAGACTAACGTCGAATTTATTATGGATTTGGTCCGACGAGCCGAGGAGATATCGAAGCGAACGGGACGTCAGTGCGAAATCGAAGCCTTAGCAGAGGCTGAGCGCGCATGGACAGAACGCAGTCGGTCCTCAGTAGCGGGAACAATGTTTGAAAAAGTTCCTTCTTGGATATTCGGACATAATGTCACTGGGAAGGCTGTGGGAGTATCCTTCTATTTTGGGGGGCTGGGGTCGTTTAGGGCCTATTTGGCTGACATAAAAGCTAAGGGCTTTGAAGGGTTCAAAAGTCCATTAGGTCCCTCGACCAGAGAAACACGGCTATAAGATAGAATTTGATGCATTAAGAAGGCATGGAGGATTAGTAGAGGGCACTACAGCTCAGTATTTAGTAGCAAAGGGAGTGAAAGCATTGATGAATGAAGGCCAAGGGAATCCAATTGACAATGTGAAAGAAGAGAGTAGCTTCGTCTACCCCGTATTAAGTTCATACACATCTTTTCTTACGATGTCTATTGAGGGGCACACCCATTATCAGGGCCCTCTCTATCTCGCATATTTGACTCCGGCTCATTCCCCCCTTCAGCCTCAGCGTCCAAGCGCCGTTGAATCCTGTCCCAGTCCGGCTCTTCGTCAGGCCGCAAATTCATTGCTTCTTCGGCTAACACTGCATGTTGTAAGTTACCTTCACGCCGCATATCCCGCGCAAACTGTCGTAGCAGGTACGCCCGAAGGGCGGCATTCGATTCGCTTCGTGCAGGTCCTGAGGGTGGGGCTGGTGGTGGCGGTGATGCCGTCCCATTTATCTTTGCCTCTGCATATTCTACAAGCTTCTGGATCAAAGTCAATCGCATCCTATTCTGGATTCTCCAGCATTTTGCTTGCATGGGAACAGTGGGACCAGTGTAGACCCCGTTTGGGTGGTTGATGGCCAGAGGCCAGAGGTCCTCTAATAAAGCAGACTGGGACGACAGCATTGCATAGAGATCTCCCCAAATCAGATTACCCTGAATGCGCATTTGTCCGTGGTAGCCGGGAGATTCGTCTGGGCGTTCAATACCTTCCTTCGGATCATAGTGAGCATCGACTGCGAGAACGAAGCCCAAATGATCGCCGGATGGGATGAATTCGGTGGCAGCCGAGTATGAATTTCCCATGTAGGAAGCGACACAGGCATCATCAATGACCAGAAATGCGGTGTCGTTGATACGGTCCTTGTCCTCGAACGAGGGGGTGGCATGGTCGTTGAAATGTCTAAAAAATTGTGAATGATTAATACCGCTATTCCCGGGGTCAATAATGGGCATCTTACTCACTTTTTCGCCGCATCGATGTCCCCTTCTGGGATCCCCACAGCCTTTCCGTCCAACCAATGTAGCTTCAAAAGTGGTTTAATAGCGTTAGACCCCGTTTGACCCCGACCCCAGTCTGCGGTATGTGCCTCGAACTTTTGCAAAAACTCCGCCCATTCAGCCTCATTCTGCTTGTAGCTCAGACGGTAGATGGCAAGTCCAAATCCGCCAACAGGACCGTTCTGTGATGTTTCCACCCTAGCTAAGCTTTTCATAATCCACGGCTCACGCGGAACTGGCTCTATAGGATCGCCCCTCGTTTCCCGTCGGACCTTGTTCTGGCTCTCAATCTGCTGCAGAGCTGTACGGTGGAGTGATTCCGGCGATCCCATGCCTTCACGAACACCTCGAGATGCGGTACCTATATTCTGGAACATGGTCATGCGAGAAGCCAACTTCAACCTCTGGTGATATTCTTTATGCCGCTTCTCATAATCGGACGACCTAAGCCCTGGCGGAATACCGGTATCAATTGCAGGCACAGTATACCCCTTATACCCATGCATAGGTATCATGATCGTATAATCCGCCACCGCCGAGATCTCCATGAGTACATGTAGAGCATCTGTCATCTTCCACTGCACCCTATCTGCCACATCCTCATTCATCGGACGATGTGACAATAATCCCTCCAGAAGGGGCGCGCGCAGTGTGTTCACATGGGAAATGACCCATCGATGCGCACGCTCAGTCATCACCTCATAATGAGCTTTAATAAACTCTGCCCACCGCTTAGCCACACTAACAGGCTCCTGATCCAGCTGAAGACGCTGTTCATTCAAAACCGCATCGTACTCCTCCCAATGTCCATAGATAAGGTTAAACGTATCTCGCAGATTCTGCGCAACACGCGCCTTGTTAAGGTACTCGAAGACAGCAAGCACAGAAGAAAGATACTGACACGCAACCTGAAAATTAGCAAGATGGTCAAGTTCCTTCTCACGCCAACGCTGCTCCGAAAGTGGGATGATGCCCTCCCACGCTCGACTTTTGGCCGAGTGGATATTCTTCCCCACAAGGCAAAGACGATCGCCGTCCTCCGTGGACCCAATTCTTTTCAACACTCTTTGCAGAAACGGCTCGCCGTTGGGGTCATCCCCCGGGTTAGCAGAGAGACTACGAATCTCCTCGGATGTTAATTGGGGTAGCGTCGACTGCTTCCCGTTAGGAAGTGGAGCTCCGTTACAACATTCTAGAAAGTGGACGATGGTTTGGGGCTCCAGGAGTCGATCGACTGTGACGATCAGTTTAAAATTTAATCTATTCTCGGCATAATTCGATCACCGGGATCGTCGACTTACCTATTTGTAACTCATCTTGAGCCTCGCGATGTACTTTGGTAATGGCGTGGCCGTTACTGCGGATATGGCTATATAGTGCACTGGGTGCCATTGTCATTAATTCACTGGTATGGATGATGTCTCTGACATTCTTTGATTGTAAGGAAATGGCAATTTTATAATTTTGCAACTTCCCCTGAAATTAGCCATGCTAGGGTACTTTTAGTGTCATGAGGCGGATGATGCCTAGTGGCTGCCTGAATGTTGGCCTGGATGGAGAAGGGTCTCGGATAGTTGCTATTGGGTGGAACCGATGGTCTAACCACATTGACTGTAGAGTCCCAAAGTCCAGGTTGCAACGCTAAATCACTAGTACGTTCACCCATTTTAATAAAGGAATGAAAAGAATAAAAACATAGTATTAGAGAGAATAGCGCATAAAATGTGTGAAATCAAGGTGACATGATAACCTTGGAGGATCTTGATATGATAAGCAAGAGGAAGCTTTCCTCAATACATGTACATTCATAGGGCTTTCTGCGTATATCAAGAAAACAGCCACTTATAGTGTTCTTGCTGTCCCTTGTTGAGAGAAGGGGAAATGTTTCTCTGATAGCAATTTATATTGTGCGTTGTTTCGTCGAATTTATGTAAGTCGAGGCCCATGTATATTCTTTACAATTGCACACTCAGTATACTAGCTTTCCTTTCCGGCAATAGATATAAGAATAAACCAAATCTCCATCGGGTTTAGACTGGATACCTCTTTATTAGTACCGATATGACTAGATCATACAGGATTTCTAGTAATGGTCAGATTGCCAATCGTGAGAATAGTAATTACACTTTGTCCGCCCTGCTATCTCCTGATACGAAGCCCATTTTGAAGCTATACCGGTTATAGTCAACAAGTATTTAATAGTCTTGCCTGTGATTTAATACGAAACCTAATGAGCTCTGATAGAAAAGCTATTTGAATTTCAAATAGTAAGTGTGTCCCGACAAGGTTCATTGCTAATTATGTAGTTCCACCATGTAAGAACCAGAAATCTATACAACCTCGCAGGGCTCATTACTGAGCTCGGCGACAGCCACGAGAGGCATCTCCGCGATAACACTTTAAGGACCTGAGTATATCGATTAAAGTCTCTGAGACCCAGCTATCTGTGATATTACACTATCCTTCAAGCTCCTCTATTAGAGTAACCTGGCGTAATAAATCTTGGCTGCAAGGTCAATGGGTTATCTCTTAGCTCATAAGACTTCAAAACCTCTCTTATGCCGTCCCCGCACCCAGTATTTCCTGCCACAGCTCTGAATATGTCTTGTATGATGGGCGAAAGATCGTCCTTCCCTTGGCCAAGTAACGGTAGTATCTGCGCTATTATTTTTGCTCCACACCCAGTATTGCCTGCCGCGATTTTCAATGTGTGTTTTAGGAGGGGTGAAATAATGTCGTCCGACGGATCACAGAACGGTAGTACCTCCGCTATTATCTTATTTCCACATCCAATATCGCCTACCCAGATTCGTCGAAACCACGGTCGTTGTAGCAGCGTTAAAATGGCAGTACAATTTGTCTCCTTTCGCCGCGGGGTTGTAGGTTCATCTCCTGAAGACTCATACTCTGCAGCGAGACGGATATTAACAAGTGCTCGATTGCTGTGATCTGCAGCTCTTCCAAGCCAAACTATCACATGGCTGGCTCGACTGTATATGGTTGGCATTAGCTGAATCTGATGACCTTTTTCCAGGTCATCCTGCTGGTTTATACTTACAGCATCTACCCATAATATGCGAGGAAACTGACGATCTCGAAGATGCAACAGTGCCGCGTAGAGGTTGTCCGTAATAGATAGAGTTGAGCCATCTAGAAAGATACATCGAGACGTGCTCTCACTACCCCACACATAAGACAGCGCCTCATATGGGAGATAACTATTGCCTGTTGTTGGTAGAGAGTAGTTGATAAGCTGGCAGCTGATTGAAGCGGTGTCGTCTGTATTGGGCAGTAGGAGAAGCACGCGAATAGTACTGGACCCTGCTGGACGTGGGGAATATTCGTACTGGCGCATCGTATGTGGGTCTGTGTGTTGATGGTAGTTCTTAGAATGGCAATTTGAATAAATATTATTTGGTAGTGGTCCGGAAATTAGTCTATGGCTCTGATTTAATTTTGAGTAGCCCCGTTTCGGCATGTATCTACAGTCGGAGTATCGTCTCGCAACATTTCAACAATCCTGAATGGGTGCTGACAAAGTGAGGCTGTGGGAGGAGAGGATGCAGTTCTGTTGGCGAAGCTGGGACCTGCACCATTCTCCCTGTGGCTAGAGACCTAACCTAAGCGCCGATTGCCCCGTAGGTTAGTTGAGTGATCATAAGTAACTCCAGCACGCTCGCTTCTACCCTTCGCTACAGCCATATGGTCTAGTTCCATCCTAGAAAGGGAAGTGAGTTGTGACTAGAAATCACTACAGATGCTGTATGTTGAATTGCTTGAAGAAGTTCTCGACCCGTCAGTAGGGACGAGATGAAACACCGCAGAGCTGTATGCCTTTTTTACATAAAGTATGGGTTGTAGAAGGTCCAATGCTGCGGTTTCGGGCCGAGACTCGATTGCCTGTATACTGCCTTACGTATAGATGCGCCGAGCATTCTTGTAGATCTAGCTTTTTCTCGACTGCACTACTATTGTTAGTGGCTTACAGGACGCTGTCAGAATATTTTCCCGTAAGAACGGATCTGATTGTCTCAGAGCCTTCAGTAAGGTCTGGCGTTACGCCTACCCATGTAAACGTCGGTGCTGGGGTCGATGACCGACAGTCTATTATCAATTCATCCTTTGTCCCTTATATAAACGCAATTTCAAGGGCGAAAACGAAGCGACTCGGAAGTTTGTAGGCGAAATCAACAAGAAGTGATCGATAGAGGCTACCATAATGGACCATATCCAAATAGTGGTCGAACGAATTAGAAGAGTTCCCAGGAATTGACTGACAGGTCCAGGTTGCTTCCTCTGTTAGGTCGTTACATTCCATAGAGATGCCGGGCGTAGCGATGTCTGAATACTCGTAAAGGCCCGTGGAACAAACTGGTTTAAGAGGATTATTACATATTCATATTGGCAGTGGTAGTCTTTCTAAGGTTCAGGTCTGGGTCACTCAAATGAGAAAACTGTGCCTGTTCTACCGGAAATTAAATACTATTGGAGGGATTCAACTTGGACTGGGTATCAGCCAGGAAGAGCGCGAGTTTAAGCATATAGTTCTACATTGGTAGTATTTTGATCACTTAAAGATGATCGCACTATGATTGTGGAAAACATATAGACCAGCCTACTTGCTTCCTTTGCGATGGAAGGGTTGGTTCTCTGGCCCAGACGGAGCCGCAGGGCGTATAGGGAGAGATTGAGTGAGCCAGGGAAGGGTATTATTTGAGGTCACATGCGCGACAAAGCTATAGGCAGTGCGATCTTCAAGCATTGTCCACAATTGTACAGGCATTGTGACAAGGATAAGACCAGATCCCTGAAAGGCGGCCTCTGTCTTTACATCTACAGCCAAAACTCCAGATGGAATGTTGGTCGTAAGCCACTTGGTCCATGATTTCAGATCCAGCTCTGAGAGGGCATCATGGATTTTGACACTGATAAGCACCCTGTTGAATCCAGGGGCCTTTAAAGCCTGTAGTCTCTGTGCCTCTCTTGGTTGCAGTTTCTGGAGAGTGATACTTGGAGACCCGTCCTTCGGTACATGTACAGGGCAAGCGCCTATCTGGTTTTGGTACGCATTTCGGAAGAGTCGAGCGTATATTCCGGCAGCAGTCTCAGGTGCTCCTCTCAGGTCGTCAAGGGTGTCTATGAGGACTTGCGTGAGCGAAGAGTGGAGGTTCGCTGTTGCCGTTTGCTCCCATCCCGAAGCCGCAATCGTCTCCGGGCCACTTTTCATGGCCACCGAAGCGGCGGAGCAACAGTCGAAGATGTAAAGGACGTCCCCGTCCATAGTATCAATTACGCCACTTATGCGTCTCCAGTCAATCCTAGCCCCCACGAGGTTTCCTGCTGCACCGGCCCTCCCCCTGTCGATGTTATTAGCTACGTAAAGGTTATCTAGAGGAGAGGGGTGAGTAACATACGCTAGATACCATTTAGAATCCGTTGTACCGGCATATTGTGCGTGCCCGGAATACACCACTATCCTAAGTGTATGTTCTCCTCCCCTGGAATTAGACCATGAAAGGAGCTTAGCGGTCAAAGAATTGTATGAGTTATTGACTGGAATTAGATAACTCTCGGTCCTGAAATTGTAGACTCTCCCGAAAATATTAATGAGTTCGGCTTCAAGACGACCGACGCCCATCTCATCGTTCTGCCAATGTAGGGCCAGCACAGAAACATCGTGGTAGTATCCCTGAGTAGTCGGGGTCACGGCATCCAAGGCCTTCTTTAAGTCCGACGCAAAATCTTGAAGCCGCTGAGGTTGTTCGCCCCTGAGATTGTATGCGTGCAGAGGTTTCAAGGAAGTCATGATGGCCTAGTATATGCAAGACAAGTCAGATAGATAGCGACAGTGTGAGTAAACTATTGCTGTGTACCGGGTTTTCCAAACAGCAATTTGGCACCGGCTTCTGCTTTATACCAACACGGGCGTCTCTAGGAGAAATCCGTATCAGCGTCTGCTGTGTACCGGGTGTTCCAAACAGGAAATTGGCACCAGCTTCTGCTGTGTACCACAAGGCTATTCAAACGAGAAGGGAGGAAGAAACACAAGAGGCTAAATGAGGGCGTGGTTGGCTGGATTGGACTATTGCCTAGTAACAAGTGCGTAGGATATTAAATGTATGTAGCTATACCAACCATAGCAGAAGCAATGATGTGGGTATATATAAAACTCCGTGAGATATTCAATAACCTGTGGGTTGACGAAGAATTTTTCGATTCACTTGTATATCCGCGCAATGTAGCTTAGGGAAAGTAGTGTGTAGTCTATGGTCATTCGCTACACTGTCTTACTGAATACAGCACCTATATTACCCTATTATTGATCACGATGAGATAATGTAGAGTATGAACGAAAGCTTAGCAAATATAGGAGTCTAGCTTAAGTATATACCAAGGACAGCTTCCTAGTGAAACCCTGGTCAAGCCATATTACGCGAACCCCGCTGATTAGGGCTTTATCTCGTATATAGGAGTCTGATTCACCCTGTTAGATCCAGTTGCACATACATCGCCACACATTCCCTAAAGCTTTCTCTGTGCCATATTGAGCAAATATCAAAGTGAACCAGAGCCTTTCCTCGTCAACCCATAGTTTAATGAATAGCACAGTGAATATTCTAGTGAATACCTATTCATATAGCTCAAATAGTTTCTTTCCGTCTTCGTACAAATCGGCACAATATTGCATACTTTCTCCCTGTTTGCTGTCTCTTATTACTTGCTATCCATGTCCTACACCACTGGCTGGAGCAAGAACGGCGGGAGCGGAACGAGCAAGAAGAGAAGCCACATGCGCAGTTTGAGCAGGCAGGGACGAGAGCAACAGAAGCAGCGAGAAGAGAGACTATTTGCACAGTTTGAAAGATTAACTCAAGCACTGAAGCTAAAGTAATCCATCATCTGTGCTTGGCTTACACACTTTCTAGAACGTCAATCTGTCCGGAGTCGTAATATGGAGGCTGGTGTATATCTAGAACCGGGTGAATCAGACTCCTATATTTGAGACAAAAGCCTAATCGGGGAAGTTGGCGTATTATACATACAACAATAGAGATTCATGTCCACCAGAAATGGCACTAAATAAAGCAAAGGCACCATATGTGCCCCGAATTTCTGAGTAATTGAATGGAGTGACAAAGTCAACAAGCTAGTTGCTTCCAGATAGGCTATTGATACTAGTACAAAAGTTACAAAATCCGCAGCGCAAACGCGCTGTGGATCTACACCGGGCACACAGGCGCTCATAAGAGCTACCTAACCTAGCCATGATGCAAGAACAGGCTAGATGTCAGGGTTTAACCAGTTTCTTCTGCCTAAATGACCGGATATACTGGAAAATAGGGAAGTGAAGATCCCCCGCATGGAGAACCTGTACCTGAAACACGATTGACCAATGAGCCGAGAGCAAGTATATCTGGCACAATTCGTCACGGAGTATTAGCCGAACGGCATTGTCGTCCGCAATGCCGTTTGCTCGATTGAAATTAGGACAAGGGTTTCTGCAACATTGGTGATGTACACCCCTGTCAATGCGGGATGGGCTTGAGCATCGAGATTGGAGGGGAGAATTCCGTTCGTCCGGGATCAAATGACCGACAGTGAATGATTGTGCACATTAGTGATTTAATTCAATCTACAATAGAAAGGGCGTGTGATGCTGCGCTGCAACAATGAAGTTGTCATGAGGATAAATATGGAGTATTTAAGAACTGCCTGTCCCTCGCTGTTATGGCTCGATGGAGGAATATCTCTGCAAAATAGCACATCCTGGCCACAAAGCTCCAACTTCGATCAGTGCTATAATAAACATGATCCTCTTGTCATATCTCCTCACTTATCTCGTCTGTGCCCTCACCTGCAGTGCCAGAGCTATACACAATGGCAGATCCCTAGTTCCCAGAGCAGGATCCCTCGAAAAAGTCACCGACTTCGGCGACAACCCTAGCAACGTTGGGATGTACATCTACGTACCCACAAACTTAGCTCCCAATCCTGCAATAATAGTTGCAATCCACTACTGTGCGTACTCTTCCATCTATATCCTTCATCCGCATATTAACGATACCCAAAGGCACAGGAACCGCCCAGGCATACTACCAAGGCTCCCCTTACGCCCAACAAGCCGAAACACACGGCTTCATCGTCATCTACCCCGAAAGCCCCTACGAAGGAACATGCTGGGACGTCAGTTCTCAAGCAACGCTCACGCACAACGGCGGCGGAAATAGCAACTCTATCGCCAACATGGTAACCTGGACGACCAAGCAGTATAACGCAGATGCAAGCAAGGTGTTCGTCACGGGTACTAGCTCTGGTGCCATGATGACCGTATGTTCACCAAACTTCCAAAGCCCTGGCCTCTTCATGAAGCAACTAAACTGATAGTACTAGAATGTAATGGCAGCAACATACCCCGAACTCTTCGCCGCCGGAATCGCGTACGCCGGCGTCCCAGCCGGCTGCTTCCTCTCAACAGCCGACCAACCCGACGCCTGGAACTCGACCTGCTCTCAGGGCCAGTCTATCACGACCCCCGAGCACTGGGCTAGTATTGCTGAAGCCATGTACCCTGGCTACAGTGGCTCGCGGCCCAAGATGCAGATCTACCACGGTAGTGTCGATGCCACCTTGTACCCCCAGAACTACAACGAGACGTGTAAGCAATGGGCGGGCGTCTTCGGGTATAACTTTGATGCTCCCGAATCGACTGAACCGAATACGCCTGAGGCGAACTGGAGCAGGACCACTTGGGGACCGAATGTTCAGGGGATCTTGGCGGGGGGTGTTGGACACAATATACAGATTCATGGGGATGAGGATATGAAGTGGTTTGGGTTTACGAGTTAGGATTTTATTTCATGGTATTGCCATTCATGTATGTGTGAGTTTCTATAATACGTTGTTTTACGTTATGATCCAGGTAGGGGTTTTCATTGACTGAGAAGAATTTACGAGTTACTATGTTCATATATGTCAGGGCTTTCTCTAAATCGTCGGCCACTTCAATTCCTTCCACGCACTTAAGACACGGAAATCATACATGCAATTATGACCAAGCCAGCTTTATGCTCTAATGCAACGTGTTCAATGTTTAGACATACACCCCACGTCCCTATACTTGGCAAAAATTGAACTCCGGATTTCCCCGCAGCTTTCTTTGTCGATCAAAAATGGAGCTCGGAGGATTTCCCAATTCGGCCATTTGTCATCTCTACAATTGTCGAATGGCCCGATGAATATCGGCTGGTTATTCATTTCTTGTTCTGGGCTATTATCGGTCCGAGGCAATTCTTTGTTAATCGGTAGTTCTTGATTCTTTCGTAGCCGTGGGTTCAATGTTTAATCTACACTATCCAGGGCGACACCGTCTACTGAGTACATAGAGCAATAATTGTAGTAGAGCTAGCTGTAAAGGTAATTGTGAATTGTATATCTGAACTATGATGTAGCATTCATCCTCTACTCAGATATTGGGTATCTTTCATTCCAGTTCCCATCTTAGTGCAGCATATCAAGCCTAAATCTTCTCTACCTTCTCTACCTGCTCGACCTTCTCCTCCGTAGCCTTTTGCTCTGCCACATCACCCTTCTCCAAGTCAAGGACCTTCTTCGATTCAGACTCCTCAACACCCGCAACAGCAGTCTCAAATCTCCGCCCACGCTTCTCGGGTCCGAACGCCGTAGTCACCATGATTCCCGTCGCGATAATAGCCGTAGCCACGCCCATGGTAGGTCCGTAAGCGGGCGCCGGTTCACCAGTCGAACCAGTGATTAAGGTCTTTTCGGCGATGGCGTTGACGATTTGTGCGGAGGGGGATGAAATCATGTTACCTACTTGGTAGGTGATGCCTGTTCCATATTAGATAATCTGGGTAATAAAGTTGCGATGGGAGAGTATATATATATATACCAGGGAAAGAGGACCGGAAGGCCGGTGGTGAGAGCTCATTCAAATGAATTGGGATAACGCCCCAGGCACCCTGAACGAAGAATTGCATGAAGAATCCAGTTGCGCTCAATGCCCGTTCACCCTCTGGGAGGATCCAGGCTGGGATAAGAATACCCGAAATCAAGGCCGAAACGATGATGGCGCGTCGGCGGCCAAAGAACTGGGATAAGTATCCGATGATCGTGCCACCGACGCAAGCGCCGGTTTTCATGAGGATGGAGGCGCGGGAGGCGCCGGTGTTTTCCATTCCCTTCTGGGTTAACATGAATGTGGTGTAGGAGTCTTGCGAGGTGTGAGAGTAGTAGTTGAACTACGACAATTAGCCTGGTTTTACCCTTTATGGTTGTCGTTGATTTATTGGATTGTGGAGATGAATGAGTACTTACCCAGGTCATGAGAATAACGGCATACACGCACATCTTCCACTCCTGGGCCAACATCTGCCTGGTTTCGTTCCAGAATGCCCCTGCGCTCATGGACTTCTTGCCGGCCTTCTTGGCTTCGAGGAACTGTTTTGATTCGGGGAAAAAGATGCGGATAACTCCAACCCCGATCGAGATACCAGCTAAGCAGTCGTAAGCTTGAATCTACATTGTGTGTATGGGAGGGTATTGACCTGCAGCCCAGAAGACTGTCTTCCAACTATCGGTAGCTCCACCAACTCCAAGGTTGGCACAGGCGGCAAAGACATATCCCAAGGAATACCCTTGTTGCAGAATGCCCGACATGAGACCACGAGCATTGACGCTAAGAGAGGTTAAGAGAGGTTAGTCAATTCGGACAATAGCTATCTGATCGCGACGCTTACGGGCAATGTTCCAGCGCCATGGCGATGGCGTTTCCATAGACACCTCCCATAAAAAGACCAAATAGACTCCGCACAGCCAGGAATTGCTGGAACGTGTGACTGTAGATGGTTGCAATCTGTAGCACCCCTAATACAATCATGTTCAACACCATGGGCCATTTACGGCCGAACTTGTCACCAGCCAAACCAAAGAAGGCGGCGCCAACACTTCGCAGAAGAAGCGTCAGTGTAATTGCCGTGGATATTTCTGTTTTGGTGCGGTTGTAGTATTTGGCTAGTTTAACTTGCTGGATGGACAAGGCGTGGAAGTCGAACGCATCTGCCGTCCAGGCTGTCAGGCCAACTAGGAAGAACACCCAATCGCGGGCACTGAGCTGCGCAAACAAGCTGATGGGGTTCTTGATGGGATCGGGCTCTTGCCATTCAGTACGAGTCTCCCCGTACTCGTTGGTCACTACGACTCGTTGCTTCCACTTGAACAGATCGCCCCATGCTTGCTTTGCTGTGGCTAGGATGCCAGTGGGGATGGGCTCCGCTGGCTCGTTCGCAGTACTCATGTTGCCAGGTACTCCTCACTGAAAGGGAAAGAAAAAGAAAAAGAAAAAGAGAAGTGGCCTATTTTGAAAACGGGCGAGAATGATCGTCTATTTAAGTCGCGCAACGACATCATGATTACACTTCCCCGGATACCTCTTTATACATGACAGCAGTGATTTCACTCCCACCCATGGTCTCGTCCCTATTGGGAAGTAATGTGCCCAGCCCACCTGATGCATTGAGGTCAATCCCCACAAATCCCCAGGTTGCAGGCCAACATTCCCCGCGAAAAGCTTCCAATCTTAACAAGCCAAGATAGCGCCAAGCAGCTAAGGCTGAGGTGGTTGTCCAAGCGTATCCAGCGCTGGCAAGCCACACTAGTCGGAGTTGCCGTTCAAGGTGGTATTTCCTCTGGAATCGGCCCGCCCTTGATGCCCAGAGGCGCTAACCATCCCAAACCCAACCTGGACGCGGGGGGTCGGAGTGAATTGGTGTGACGACTACGGAACCAATTGAACCATCGGATTCACACAAAGGATGCCAGTGAATTACTCGCACGGGGAGGGTCAGAAGGTCATGAACATGATCCGTGGGCCTCGCGTCCATGCAAGAGTGGCACCTCGTGCGCGAAAAATTGTATCAGCCAAGAGGATTAGTTTTGAGTCAATTTTAAACTTATTTCCCCATGCTCTTGTGGGGGTTTTTTGTTTCTCTCTCTTTCTCCTGGGGTGTGGAGGTCGTACGATACTGGGAGGGAGAAAGGAAGCCCTACATGACCTCATTTGGAAGTTGTTTGTAAATGGGCTATTGTCGGCCACGTTCGTGATTCTGGCCTGTGAATCGGTTTGGTAATTGTTTAGGTGATCTGATCAGCGTGTGTCCACCTCCTTACATCTCAACCGAGCATTCTTCAAGACACATAATCCTGTCGAAGGGCAGGCATTCGCATCCTGCGTTAAAATTCTACCTCGGTGTTCCCCATCGCGGAATTCCTCCGACCACGGCATCTTCGATTTTGAATCACAAATGGCTATCAAAACCCCCCCGATACTGCTTCGGGAGACTGGGTCGGCTTTCACCTCGCATGTCTGGGCGAGCCTCAAGACTGCCCCGCCGAAGATCCGGAGAAGCCCCTCGTGGCGCCTCTTGGCACAAAGGGCTTCGGAACAGAAGCAAGTCTTGGAAAAACGTTGTCAAGAACCAGCGGAAGGCTTGATCGTGGGAACCAAACTTAACTCCTCGGGTGGATTCGGGAGCATGGAACAAAGAAAAAATCGTAAGATGTGACCATAAGATAACTCATTTGGGGAGGAGTCGTGGTGGAAGTGAAACTTGGTCCTGGCGGAGAGATTTTCCTTTCGGGATCTTCTTGTCGCAAATCAGGCCTTGGGCGCTTCGTATATTCCCTGTCAGACTAACCAGACACCGATAAAGAAACTGCGACTGTTTCTCTGGTCCTTATTGGTCGCGGTTATCTTTCCATGTGGGTCAACGCTGGCTATTCCGTGTGAGATGTTGGTTCATGCTCATCATTGCTATTTTGGGCGACTCCATTGACTATTAGGATTAGAATTCAGACACGGCAGGTGTTCAATACTACTTTTGGAAACTAAGAAATTACCTCAATCGCAGTAATTTGGCTCCTCTGGCAGAAAAGCATGGTTTAAGCAAGTGAGCGTCGTTGGTTTGAAGTTAGGGTTTATCGGTGGGGCCGAGATATATATTGCCAGGTACTCTGTATGTGCACTGCATGTCAATATCTCGGATTCCATGCATTCAGTCCCTTACAGATCACATTTATGTAGACAAATAGTACACAAAGACTTGCCTACTAGATCATTAAGGTTGGTAGGATCATAGGAAAATGGGATCACTCTACGAAGGGAGCCAGGGTTAGAGAGAGTAGAGGCCCCAAGTCACCCACAGTCGGAGCACACTACATCTACGACTGGAGAAGAGAGGAATATTCAATTCAAACCACATCAGTACGACACTTGTGATACTAGCTGACTGGATATCTCCAACATATAGTAAGCATTAATAAAACTCTGGACACATGTCTTATCTATCTAAGCTGTACTCCGCGACGCCGTGCGCTTTCGCACATACACATCGGTAGAGGTATTGGGCACGATTTTATCACCGAGTAACACATTTTTTGGCCTCCTTATCTGAACAGAGCCAAATTGAAAGTCATATTCCACTAGAAACCGACTGAGGATGGCCTTCAAAACAAAAGTTGCAAAGAAGCGACCGGGACATGCATACCGACCCAGTCCGAAGTGCATACTTGTAGCACTGGTGTGGACAAACTGGGACTGGGCTTTGTCCCCGTCAACGTAGCGGAGAGCGTCGAAAGTATCAGGGTTGGAGACGTACTTGGTGTCCATGCCGATGGGTCCAGATGCCATGCAAATGTGGGTGCCCTTTGGAAGTCGGAGGCCATCGGAGAGGACCAGGTCTTTCTTCACCACCCGGTGAAAGGATACTAAACGATCCACAATTAGTATCCGAATATGCAATGAAATAGAATTGTAGATAACCTACGCTCGCCCGGGGGATTGAAGCGCTGCGACTCCTTGAGAAAGCTATCCAATCGCCGAAGCGCAACCAAACTACTGTAACTGGTGGACTTCCAGTCGGGCATGACCTCTTGGATCTCCTGACGGAGGGGTTCAAGCCATTGAGGCATGGTGATCAGATCATACAACCCATGAGTAATGGACATGGCACTTGTATGCACCACTGCCATACTGGTAAGACCCAGCAGACGGTGGGCTATATTCCTTGGATCGCCCTCATTATCATTCTGAGCAAGATCCATCATCCACTGCAGGAAGTCATCCGGCTTCTGGTAGTCTCGATCTCCCTCCGCCTCGCTCTGCCGGCGCTTCGCTATTTCTGGACCGAGGAGCTCATCTTGGACGTATCGCAGTTGTGTATCCAGGCTCCGGCTACTGGGTAACATCGGCCCGATAATGGGATGGAGGAAGCTAGGTATGGGACGTAGCAGTGTAATTGTCATGAATATATTTTTTGTAAAGTCGATTGAAGCGGTCAGCCATTTCTCGCTACGGCATATTTCTGGTCCGACAAACACGCGAGCGCCGGCTCGAGCGACTAGGCGGAGGAACACCTCGTACGGCCTGACTGGGACCCATTTATCTATAGCTTGTTAACATTTACGAATGTGGATAAGGGAGGATGAGCCCACCTTCACATTCTGGCATCTCAACGTCAAAGCCATGGTCTAACTCGTCTATAATCCTTGGTATCAATCGACCTAATCGAGCCTTGTATTAGCTATGGCATAGTCAGACCTGTGCAGTAGGATTGACACACTGATAGCAGGAGTCAGGCGCTTCTGTATAACCTCTGTATGAAGATGACTGTCGTTCAAGATCGTCGTGTATTTGCCAACATGGTCCTAGAAGAGTACATCCATAAGCTACAGTCCATAGACATTAACGAGGTATTGTAGCCCTCACCGCAAACACCGCTTCCAAAGCGTTAAGCGTCGTGAAAGGTAGTTGCCGTAGCTCCTCGACGTACTTATTCGACAGTACGATGATATCTCCATCTGGCTTGAGAAGACGAAATGCTTGGTCCTTATACTAAGTTCTCTTTGAGTAACAAGCGCAAAGCTTTTAAGCGATCGCCTGCTCACCTGTCGGTATCCCTTGTATATAACAGTAGGAGCTGTTGAATTGAACCATACACGGCTCAGGAATTCCGGCAGATAAGGGTTGAAGAGAGTAACAGTTGGTACAGACACATTGCTGCGTTTCGCTGGGCTTGGGATTATGAACCGCGTAAAGAGGATGACAAGCGTGATAGCCATCAAAATGGAGCCCTTCTCTTCCTCGAACAAATAACTAAACCTAGCCACCGTTGCGGTGAGTTTGTCCATACCTGTAGGAGTTTTAGAGTGGCTCGAGTCACTCATGTCACGATGGAGCAAACAACCTCATTTTACTCTGAATTGTGAAACATATCCTACTTATCGCAAAGTTGGCATCGTTGGATACCCCCTATCTATTCTGCTCCAGGGTCACACGGTAAAGACATTCCCAAGACCACATGCTGTTCGCTTACGTACATTGATGTCTCTATAGCAAGGATAACGCTGGCGGGTATCTCGGAGCTGACCTCCGAGCGGCAGCGTGTCTTGCATGGTCGGAATAGCAATAACAAAGCAAGATAAACAAAGCCTAATGACAGCAAGTAGTAATGCAGTCGTATTCGTAACCATTCTTCGCCCATGTCTCACACAGATTTGCAATATCTCAATCACTGGCAAGCCCCATATTGTAGTTTCAACTGGACCTATTCTAAACGTACCCGTCTAGGACTCTCAGATGCATTGTGATGTTGTCCTACTTCCAACACCTCGATCAGGATGTCGCACATACGAGCATCCTTCCGATTCCCAGGCGAGTCTAACAGCCGTAGCTGAGGGGCCATCGATCACCATCCATCCGAGCAACTGTTGCATCAGCCTAAATTTGTTGATCTCCAATCCAGCCCGGTGGCGTTCTTGGATGTAATGATCAGTGCTCCACACAATCGTGGCCACTGCAGCAACACCAGAATCCCATTGGAGGAAGGTAAACAGTCCAGCCTCAAGGGCTCCGAGTCCCTGTGTGGGCTGATTCAAAAGTGGAAACGTGACACCGTACGGACACAGGTACCAGAGCTTAGGTGATTGGACGAAGGAGTGAACCTTAGACGCCACCAATGCAGAGAGCCAGAGCATATGACAGATACAGGAACAGAAGAAGGCAAAGCGATACGCAGAGAGTACCTGACGGCGTGCCGATGCTCTTTTCGGGTCTGTACAGCCGATAACCAAATGGCGGACGGTCATTATAATGACAAAATAGACCGGCCATCCCTGCCACGCCGCGATGACTTGTTGTTTAAAATGAGGGGAAACTATTGCGGGGGCTGGTAGAGACATTATTGTCAAGGGCAGGATATAGCTCATGACCATCGAAGCGATCAGACCGTCAATTGATGTGAGATTTGTTTCCGTAAGACGCAAGTTCTCGTTCACGGGTCTGGACCGAGACGTCAGGGCAAAGTAACATGGTATCACAATGCCAGGACCAACTGCCTGCTGTGTAATCCCAACAAAGAGAGTTCTTCCAAGAGTTGAGTTATCAGCCTCATGTCCCATTTGGCCAGGACCTTCCTCATGTGCAACTCACACTGTCATGCCTCGCATGAATGAGCCTGCCCGACAAATATCGACCACAACGATCATCCAAATGCCGACCATACCTCCCGAAAACATCAATCCCATCATGGTCAAACCTACATCGTGGCCTTGAGTAATGGGCCAAAAGAAGATAACAGTACTTTCCAGTATACCATCGAGAGCCTTTAGTCCAGTATATACTGATAGAAGGGTCACATTCGATTCCCCAGGAAGCGCTCTAGTCGCCAGTTGGTGCGAAAGAATATTGAAAAATCCATTGTTGAATAATGAGATGTACATCATATAGAATGAGGCAACTGCCGAAAGAAGGAACAAGTAAAATAGTGTAGAGTCCATATTGTTGAAGGGCTTTTTTTTGGAGTGTAGGCGTAGTTTCGACGTATGCTAAGGGTGACATGATGATTTTTCGGAGTATTTGAGACCATAACTTGTAAGCTTTCCATACGCTTCAAGCTGAGTCCCCGATTGGGGCGTACATGCCGCGCTTTCCATCTGAAAATATCTTGTTGAAGCACATAGGATGATTGGCTATTTTTACGGGTAGCCACTGATATGTGGTATCTTCAGAAGTATTAAATTGGTTTCTGTGCCATTGGGCTTTGCAATTAAATTCATTCTGAATCTCTGTTTCATTGCTATATGACTAGAGTCTACGACAAGCAACAGCCACGCTACCTTACATCGAACCGGATCTACGTAATGGACGGGTTTGGCTCATCACAGGCCCCAGCTGCGTATCGTGAAGTTGAATGGATTGCAGATATTTTCGTCATAGGAATGGGAATCGGTTGGGTTATTAATTATGTTCACATGGTCTACGGGTCGTTCAAAAGTCGTACATATGGAATGGCTATTATGCCACTCTGTTGCAATATTGCATGGGAAATTGTGTATGGCCTCATATACCCATCAAAGACTCTGTATGAGCAAGGGGTCTTTCTGAGCGGCCTTGCCATCAACCTAGGCGTCATATACACAGCAATTAAATTTGGGCCGAAGGAATGGACCCATGCGCCTTTAGTGATGCACAATCTGCCACTGATCTTTATACTGGGGATAATCGGCTTTCTCACAGGCCACCTCGCCCTGGCAGCGGAGATCGGCCCAGCACTGGCCTATAATTGGGGAGCTGCATTCTGTCAGCTGCTGCTCAGTGTCGGAGGGCTCTGCCAGCTGATCACTCGTGCGAGCACCCGAGGAGCCTCGTACACACTCTGGTGAGTATTAGCCTGGTTGATTTGCTAATAGTACACTCCATCGCGTACTAACCCTCATTACCAGGCTTTCCCGCTTCCTGGGCTCTTTTTCGGTGGTAATCTCAGCCTGGCTGCGTTACAAATACTGGCCACAGGCATTTTCATGGCTGGGCAAACCTTTGATAATGTGGTGCTTTTTCGTCTGGCTCATTGTCGATGGTTCTTATGGAGTTTGCTTTTATTATGTTAAACGTTATGAGAGGAGAATTGGTTTAGATGCCGATCGGAAGACGGTTTAGGCCATGGCTGATGGATGATTACTTCTGGGCATACGCCGCTTATTGGGTCCCTGTGTAGCTCGCCAACTTTCGAATTCGTATTGACTATATTCTTTGGGTTTAAGTCCTTCGTCCTGACTGTTTAGAAACATCTTTGTATCACCATCCTGGGTTATAGAGTAGGTGGTAGTTTGGGGGGTACGGCATTGGATTAGGGCATTGGATTTCTTCACCCCACAGAGGCTTGGTATAACAGTTCCCAACGAAAGATGAAGGGCAGCAAAGCCATCCGCCGATGGAAGAAGTCGAGGAACAAAGAAAAAGAGAATTCAAACAAACAGCATCATTGTCTCAAGTGACTCAAGTAAGCCCCCGCAATAACTCCCAAAGTAAGCTTTATTCTTTCTGGGCTGATTTAGCCCGATAGTATAAGGGATATACCTTGCTTCGTTGCCATGTTATCCCATTTCTCACTGGACGTAGAGAAGCCAGCTGAAGACGAGGGCGTAGGTCAATCCATTTTAGCCCCGTATCGATATTAAGCACAGGGATGAAGACGATTCAACACTGTCAGCTGCCATGTCTGTCGCTAAATGGTCCTGATTACTTATGCTGGTTCTTAATGCCAGCCTGATAAAGCCGTCCGTATTGATTCAGCGGGCATCTCAATCATCAGCGCGTCCATCTACCTACGTGACATTGGCCATTGGCGTCTTCAGGTTATCATAGTTATCACATGAGTGGTCTGGTCTACCGAGGCGCGTTTAATTGAGATTTCCCTACTTTGTCGAGTTGCTCGAGAAACTAACTATCCTATCGTCAATGTCTCAACTCTTAGGGAGAACGTTGGTCTATTTCAAGGGCCTGGTAGAGTATCAGTTAGCCAACCCGTTCGTCGCTCCTGTCTGGGGCTATGTTTTCTGTGCTATCCTTATTCAGCAGATCGCGACCAGATGGTACAGATATTATAGATCATGGGTACGTGGCCCCGCCGTACATTTGAAAGTGACAGCCCAGCTAAGGTAGAAAGGTCAACGTCCCGGTAGTTGGAGGCCATGGGCTCATTGGGTCTTGGATTGCAGCATTCCGGTGGACAGTGCAAGCAAGATCATTAATCGATGAAGGCTATCAGAAGGTGTGTAGCCCTGCACTGCCACCCAGAGTCTTATGTTTGACGCATTCCATACAGCACAGTGACTTCGCCTTTCAAGTATCAACTCCAACTCGGTGGGAAGTGTTTATCTGCAATGATGCAATGGTGCGCGAGTATCGCAATTTCACCGACGAACGCTTCTCGGCGAATGCAGTCACAGCCGAGGCAAGTCTTTGCTCAACACAACCATGGCCCGAAAGCTTACATGCTGACGTTAATCTGTGTAGTTATTCGAAGCGAAGTATACCGTCCCGGGCGCGGCAGAGGGTGTGCATAAAATACCTGTCCCGATTGTGGCAAAGGCCCTGACCTGGCAGCGCACTCGGGCTGCAACCAAAAGCGACCCATATTTTGAGGAGTTTGTGAAAGAGCTCCATCACGCCTTCGACGCGGAGACCATGTTTGGCGATGAAGATTGGAACGACCTTTGCTGTTTCGCGACGGGAACCAGGATTGTGGCCCATCTAACAGCCAAATCCCTGGTAGGGTACCCTTTGTCTCGAGATACGGAGCTCATTGATCTATTCGCAGAGTACGGCAATGCAGTGCCAACCAGTGGGTTCTTTATTGCTATGTTTCCAGAGGTTTTGAAGCCGTAGGAAAAACGTTACCTCTCGACTTCTCTTAGAAGCTAATGCATTCATAGGTTAGCTGCGAAATTTTGCAGTGCTCCGAAGATATCAGCGCGGCTTGATAGGATTGTGATGGATGAATTGAAAAAGAGGCAAGCAAGTTCCCGGAGCGAGCCACAGGTACTAGTCTCTTCAATGCGTCGACATGCGAATGCTGATGCTGTGACTTAGGATATTACGGATTGGATTTCATTCTGGACTCGTACCGACCCTGGGACATACACCGACCGAGACATTGCTCGGTCCGTGGCATCAGCCGTGTTTGGTGCCATCCATACTACTACGCAGGTGAGGTCCACATAGGAGGCCAACGCGATCAAGACTGATCAGCTTACCGCAATGCCTAGGTATTGGTCCATTGTCTGATGGACCTAGCCAGCCGGCCTGAATACGTGCAGCCACTACGTGAGGAAGTGGTGGCCGTTTTGAATAGGAATGGCCGTCAGTGGACTAAAGAAGGACTCGAATCCATGGAGAAATTGGATAGCTTTGTCAAAGAATGTCAGCGGTTTAACCCCCTTGATGCAGGTCAGTAAATCATTGCATGTCGTACATAGCGACCAGACTCTGAGGTTGCTCCTAGGTTCTCTTGCGCGACGCGCTACAAAAGACTACACGTTCAGTAACGGTCTCCGCATTCCTGAAGGAACGTTCGTCTTCACACCAAATGCACCCGTCCTCTTCGACGAGAAACATTATCCGGATGCCCGGCAATTCGACGGCTATCGATTCTACCGGCTGGGAAGGGTTACAGGACGACCACATGATTACAAATTCATTGCCGCCAACCCCAAATACCTCCAATTCGGAGATGGGAGACATATATGGTGAGTCGAAAGTGCGTCCCTGAGAGTACAGGAACGAAGCTGATCTTAGCTTTTCTTGTCAGCCCCGGCCGATTCATTGCAGCAGACGAGATCCGTCTCCTGCTAGCGCATATTCTTGTGAACTACGACATCAGACCGAAAGATGACGGCGAGCGCCCGCCTAATTGGACCTTCAAGAAGATTTTGTTCCCGGACATGAAAGGAATGGTGCAATTGAAACGGCGGCCGGTTCCTACTTCCCACACTAACTAGTTAATCTAAGGGACTTCAGAGGTTTAGCAAAATCATATCTAGTGTATTCCCCCTCCTTGACGACCGGATTCTATACTGAGTTAATAACTGAATTCATGAAACAATATGTTATATCCATCATATGTCTCTAGCCTCCCTCACCACATTCCCGGTACAGGTATCTCAGATACAATGCTCACTATCCAAGACGCATAGCGTTCCCAGTCGAGAGAGTTGAGTTATTTCTTGGTAGGAGATGGTCGTAAATAGGTAACTACGATCAATATAATCTCAATTATCAGTAACGATCTGCAGAAGCCTTTTCGAACTACATCACATTGCTCTAGATACATGCCACTCATATGATTACTGTATTAAACAGTCTCTTATGCCCTACGGAATCGTTTCGGAACCAAGGCTTCACACTGTAGGTAAGGCTACCTCTCAGGATGTAGTGGGGTGACACTATTGACCGAATATTGGCATTGCTGGTCGTAAGTGACGCGGTGGCGGCCGAGTGAAGCCACATCATCTCGTATGGATTGCACTTATGTGCAGTTTTATGACCAACCGACACGTAGGAGTCGCTGTATCATTGTGCAAAGCATCACACGACTGCAGCCACATGCAATTCCAGTGGTCCAGACTTTTGGCTACTTTCGTTTGTCACTCTGAATCCTGTATTCCATTGTTGACTGCATATCCTACTATAATGCATGGGATTTGTCAATCGCCCCTGCTCGGAGTGTGCTATTTATGGCCTGAGGAGCATTATCCGGGTATTCCGAAGCCTACTGACGGTTTTGGACCATAAAACCTATCCTTCAGAAGCCATTGAGCTCCCCATCAACATCATCCCTATTTCATTTCACTGACCCCTAATTTCAAATTCCCCAGTGCAGCTTCAACTGCATAGAGGAAGAGCAAGCAACATGTCAGCTCTGAAGTCGGACGCATGCTCACCCCACCAAGCCCTTGCCCGAGGCATGGGGTTCAATAGCAACAATGAAAGGCTTTGGTGGGCCACCTTTGGGCCTCTCCTGGAGAAGCTGCTGGCGCTCTGCGATTACCCAGTGTCTCTCCAATATCAGCATCTATCATTCATCTATCACCACATTCTGCCTTACCTCGGCCCATATCCTTCCATCGAAAACGGCTTTGCATGGAAGACAGCCTACTCACCGGACGCAACGCCTGCCGAAGTCAGTCTCAACTTTGACGGGTCGAAGAAGACCGTGCGCATGGATCACGTTCCTATCAGCCAGTGGAGCGGCACCCCGAAAGACCCTTTCTGCCAGAACATTGCCCTCGAATTGACCAAGTCCCTGGCTGCGGTGCTCCCCGACTTCAGTATGGACTGGTTCGATTACTTTGTCCAACAGATGCACATCCCCGAATCTGCAACCGACATAGTCCTCGCACGAGAGCCTCCCGATCTTCGTCCTATGGCCATGCAGAGCGTCAATGGGTGCGACCTTTTGGACAGTGGCGTTCGGGTGAAGCCCGTATTTAACGCTCTTTGGAAAAGCATTGAAACAGGGATCCCCCATGACCAGCTGCTCTTCGACTCCATTCGCAACAATAGTGACCTTTTCGGTCCATACCACCCCGCCCTCAAACTCATAGACGACTACTGCCAGTCGAATCGAGCCAAGGAGTTTCAAACAAAGGGCTGTTTCCTCAGTTTCGACACCACTAACTCGAAAGACGCCCGCCTTAAAGTCTATTTGCATGGGCCGCAGACAGCATACATGAAGATGCGGGACGCGTTTACTCTGGGTGGTCGCCTCAATAACCCCAATATTCAAACTGGTGTGAGAGAGCTACGCAAGCTTTGGTATGCGGTGCTCAATCTGCCGCCAGACTTCCCCGAAACCGAAGACCTGCCTGCGACCGACGACCTTTACCAGGGTTGGCTGATTAATTATGAATTAAGGCCCGATAACCCTGTCCCGGAGCCAAAAGTATATATTCCAGTGGCAATCAACAATAAGGATCAGGATAGCATCGTTCAAGGACTTCAGGAGTTCTTTTCACGACATGAATCCATGGATGTACAGGACTATCGACACATCTTTGAGTCGTTGTTGTATGTTTGCCCAAACCTATGATAAAGATTCATATATTAGCTTGGTTTACTAACATGATCGCTTGCTAGCCTGGATACAAAAAACCCCACGGGAATTCACCACTTCATTACCTTCAGTTACAAGTCCCATCCCTATGTCACTTGTTACTATAAACCACATGTGGTACCAGTCCCAGCTAGGGAACTAGAAAGGCCAGATGTGAAGGAGTCTCCTAAGTTGGAATATCCAGAAGCATCTAATTGAACCTACAATGTCTGTCTATGGCGTTATAATATCAAACCAACCTTTACATATTCCCCTAACTTGTGCTATTCCACACACATTTACATGTCGATGGAAAGTATTTATCACTCCTCGGGGCATGGTTGTCCGCTCTATACCTTGAATTAATTACCCATTCTACCTTTCTATCAGAGACATGAGCAGTTACGTATGTCAGTCAACCGAGATCTATTACCGGGAATTGTTTAAAGGAAATAGTAATATCACGAAGCGTCAGACTCCTTTATACATCATCAGCAAGCTTTGATAATCTGGCAAAGGAACAGCTAGCGTAGAACCATCGGAATATATTTTCTATAGCAGCAGGACAAATTACCAACAAGGTCAGGGCTTAGACTGGTTAGGTTTGCTAATGAAGGGTGAGAAAATAGTAAATGGATCAACTCTTGGCATAAATTGCGGGGTGACTCAAATGATATTAGGGCTGACCCCACTCAACCGATAAAGAAGGCAAGCAATTCCGACGAAGGCAAGTAATGAATCGGACTTACCAACCGTTTGAAGTGCGCCTTCCATGGACATCGCTCCCACCACCGCTTGGATGTGGAGGACAAATAGATGTAGACATCATAGGTTCAATCATATAATAATATAGTGTTGAAATACACCATGTATCCTACTTTTTCACCTCACCCACTTCATCATTGAACATATCCCACAACAATGTCTACAACAACAGCTACCGCTATTGACACCCAACCAACGGTGCTTCGTGCCGAGCAAAATGATACACCTAGCGCAGAGAGCGACCGGGCCTTCCAGGCACTTGCGCGAGGTGACCGGCAAGGTGTGCTGAAGCTCCGAGGTATCCCTACCTTCACCGATTTGCATGCAAAGCGGCAATGGATTCGTCAGCACATGGCTGCTGTTTTTCGCTTTTTTGGAAAGCGAGGGTGGGGAGAAGGAGTTTCCGGGCATATCTCTGTACGAGGTACGACACGGTTATGCTGTAACCAAGGAGAATCAAGATAGACTAAAAGGCCGCAGACCCGATACTACCGGACCACTTCTGGATGAACCCATTCGCGATGCATTTCAGCCTGATCAAAGCATCTGATCTGGTCCTGGTTGACAGTCGTGGAGACGTGGTCGAAGGTGGTAACCAGGCTATGATCAATGAGGCGGGCTTTATGATTCATTCGGAAGTCCACCGTGCGCGACCGGAGGTTATGGCTGTGGCTCACACTCACAGTATTTATGGGAAGACGTGGAGTAGCTTTGGTAAGCCGATTGAGATGCTCACACAAGGTTCGTATTCTCTCCCTAAGTATGTATTATGCCCGTAGCATTCGCTGAATATCGTCCATTATAGATGCGTGCAACTTCTATGGTAAACTCAGTGTGTATGAGGACCATGGAGGAATTGCGCTTGCCGAAGACGAAGGGAGGGCTATTGCGAACGCCCTTGGAAAAACTAGTATGGCTGCTATCCTGCAGAACCACGGGTGAGATTGCGCATGTTCTGATTTATCACTATTTGAGAGTGGAGCTGACGAACACGAAAACAGCCTGATTACGCTTGGTTCTACGGTTGACGAGGCTGGATTCCTGTTCTACAGCTTGGAAAAGGCCTGTCACTCGCAGTTGCTAGCAGAGGCTGCCGCTGCCAATGGAATTCCTAAGAAGATCATTCCCAATGATGTCGCTCAATTCACGGCCGACTCGGTTCAAACCCCGGTAAGACCACAGGTGATCATCAGTGACAATCTCTAGCTAATCAATGCATAGAACAACTTTTATCTGGAGTTCCAGCCTGAATTTGACTTGGTCGTTGCGGAGTCTAGGGGAGAGGTGCTTCAGTAAATGAGAACTAGGATTTCACACCTTGTTCTGTTTCCATGGATTGTAGCAAGGACGAAATAAGAAGTAAATCGTATTACGTACAGCGCCATATATGGAGATTTGGTGTTTGCTGTATGCAATGTACTTTTTTCCTGTGGTCTATTACCCCAAACGACCATCCATGCCTATGTCGAATACCACGGACGGAACACTTGGGTCTGTATGTAGATCCCCTTACGCTATATGATTTTCAATATCTGTTTCAGTACTTGAGCTCAGACCTTGACGTATGACTGACGGGGAAATATAAGAGTCGATAACTATATGTTTGTCACTAGTATTATTCAACGTTATTCAATGTGACTTGAGGCCGTTAAGCTGTGTTTTAAAATAGTTCCATTTAAACTCAAGATAAGTCTAAGCTATAACCTATCACCAAATACCCACATCAGAGATCATTACCCATATTCACATGAACCGCTTTGATCTGCGTGTACGCCTCTAGACCCGCCTGGCCGAGCTCCCGGCCCACTCCGCTAGCCTTATAACCCCCAAAAGGAACCCGGTGGTCGCTGTCCTGACTACTATTCAGCCAGACGGTGCCAGCTTCAATTTCTGCAGCGACTCGATGACCTCGGCGCAGGTTCATTGTAAAGACCGCTGCACCCAGGCCATACAGAGTGTCATTTGCATACTCGATAGCATCCTCTTCCGTCTCGAAGGGAACAACCACTGCAACAGGACCGAAGATCTCATCCCGATAGATCTGCATCGACGGGGTGACATTGGTGAACGTGGTTGGCTGGACGAAAAATCCTTTACCATCTGGAGATGCGAATGCCTCACCTCCCGTCTCAACTGTGGCTCCTTCCTGTTTGCCTAAGTTGATATAATGCAACACCCGATCATACTGGGCGCGGGTTACTTGGGGACCCTGGAATGTAGTCGCGGACCACTGATTCCCAATGATGGATGCTGTGCGAACGCGCTCTTTGAAGAGAGAAAGGAATTCGTCGTAGATACTGCGCTGAACAAAAATCCGCGAGGTAGCAGTACAGATCTGTCCCTGGTTCGACATTATACCAGCATGAGACCATTTGACCGCTTGGTCGAGGTCGGCGTCCTCGAAGATAAGCAATGGGGACTTTCCACCTGTTTCTAGCGTGATTTCTTTCAGGGAGCCGCTGGCTGACTTCATAATCTGGGCACCGGTAGTTGTAGATCCCGTAAAGGCAATTTTGTCAACCAGAGGATGTTGAACGAGAGAGGCGCCGGCCTCACGACCATATCCGTTGATGATATTGACCACTCCTGGGGGGAATCCTGCGTCCCGGATAAGAGTGGCAAGGAGAAGAACACTCAATGGTGTTTGTTCCGCTGCCTTGAGTACAACGGTATTGCCACAAGCCAAAGCAGGACCGAGTTTCCATGCAGCCATTGCCAGAGGGAAGTTCCAGGGGATAATCTGGCCAACCACGCCCACAGGTTGACGCAGCGTGTATGCAAACTTCTCGGGCGTGGTTTCGATGGTCTGCCCGAAGTTCTTATCGGCCCAGCCCCCGTAGTACCGGAATGTGCCAATGGAGTCGGGCAGATCATCCTCCATGGCGAGTTCGTAAGTTTTACCTACATAACAGTATGTGTTAGAAGGGTTCCACGTTGGTAGCGATAGAGAGAGTGCAGGTGCATACCATTATCCCATGCATCGATACTGGCGAATAATTCTTTCTTCTCTTCAATCAATTCTGAAAGACGGACTAGTAGCCTTCCCCGGTCAGTTGCGGGAAGCTTCTTCCACGATGGTGCCTTTAGAGCTGCCTTGGCTGCCCGAACGGCTCGATCAACATCGTCCACACTGGCCGCATGCACGGATGTGATTTCTGTTTCGGTTCTACATGAACAAGGTATGGTTAGAAAAGGATGTTTTAATTGACCCATGCCGTAACTGCACTCACGCGGGGTCTAGTGTCGAGATAGTCTCTCCTGAGCCCTTGACAAACTCATTGTTGATAAAGAGACCTCTGGGTTGGATATAGCTATGACCGTTTGGAGTGGTCAGATTCACGAAAAGATCAGCCATGACGGAAGGATACTTTTAAGGGTTCTCTCGAAACAATTTAGTTAACTGAGATAAAATTCTCCTCTGGCATACGCTCTATATATTATCGCCATCGGACCCACGTCCTCGGAATGCCCTTCTCTTTCTGCATGATCATCCTGTTACGTAGGAGAGCCCCGATAAGACGTGCTTGAGTTAAAATCAAAGGTAAGTGTTTATGATTTCATAGAACAAAGAGTTGTTGTTCTAGACGGCCGGTTGCTTTCCTGTTTGGAAGTCCAGTACGGATCCACCTTCCGCACGGACGTTGGTTGCCTTCCCGTTTCGGTGGAGCAGGGCTTCGGGCTGCGGGAACGTGTAGAGAAAGTATCACGACTTCCAGGCCTTTGCGACATAATTGTGTACATGTTGCAAAGTAAGTGGGTCGAAGATGGCATCGCAACAAGGTATAAAGGAGTCTATAACCTACGTCCAATTTCTCTAGCAACAACAACCTACTACTATTACCACCACCACTACTACTACTACTACTACTACTATTCGGCTTTTGTTCTAATCACAAACCCTATCCTTTCAAGATGACCCGAACAACTCCTGTCCAGTTAACTGGCATTCTCACAGCGTTAATCACGCCTTTCACCGATGATGGCAGCAGCATCGATGCAGCTCGCCTGAAGGCTCACATTGATCGCCAATTCGACGCCGGCATCCATGGTCTTGTTCCCGGCGGTAGCACCGGGGAGTTCACCACGCTCACAACGGAGGAGCGCAAACAGCTAGTCGAGCTCACTGTCAAGTATACCGCGGGTCGTGGTCCCATTATTGCTGGAGTCGGCAGTACCAAGTCCGCCGAAGCGATAGAGCTAGCAGTGCACGCCGCCCAGGCGGGAGTCGACGCGGTGATGGTAGTTCCTCCATTCTACGACCCGGTCAGCTATGAGCAACTCCAAGAACTCCTAAGTGAGATTCATCAGGCCTCCAAGCTTCCTATCCTCTACTATAACATTCCTGCCGCCAGTGGTTTGACTCTTAGCACAGAGCAAATTGCTGGCCTGAGCAACGTCGGCGTGAAGTGGTTCAAGGATACTTCCGGTAATGCTCCAGACTTCACTGAGCTTGTCTTTCATTACGGGAACCAGATCAAGGCTATGAATGGTTGGGATACCCTGACTTTCTATGGTATCGCGGCGGGCAATGAGGCTGTGATCTGGGGTGCGGCTAACTTCATCCCCGAGCTGGCGGTCGAGCTGTGGAATGCTTTGGCCGTGAAGAATGATCTTCGGCGGGGTCGGGAGATTTGGGCTAATATTTGGCCGATTACCAAGTTCCTTGAATGTCATAACTATTCCGCCGCGGTGAAGACTGGAGTGGAGCTTCGAGGATTGAAGACGGGGGGTCTACGGAAGCCGTTTGCTCTTCTCAAGGAGGAACATCAGGTGGAATTGCAGAAGCTGCTGTTGAGTGCGCAGGTAAAGATTAACTAGATGCGATGGAGGACGAGGATATAGGTATGAGATCTTAAGTATACGTCGTCACAATTGATTAATACTATCGCGCTTCTCTACATGAACAGCACTAGATTGAAATCATGATAGGTGAATAGCCCGATAATGATCATTACAATCGAGGTGCTATTTTCTATTAGTAATATTTAGTATTAATCTGGTGCTTATCAAATCTGCTTGTAAAATAATATTAATACTCGCTATGATAATACGGGAATGTATTAAAAGAGAAGCAACCATTGCAAATTCTGCCTCGAATAGTCCATCCAACTAAAGGACATCGGCCCGCCAGGCAGTGCTGGCCGTGCACATTTCAGTCCCTGCTCCCTTCGCTTCCAAACCTCCTCCATGATCTGCCGAGCAGTGGTATAGGAAACGAATCCACTCCGCTCCCTGGCCTTTTCCAACCACTGGACAATAGCCTCCCGCTCTGCGTGACCCATGGCTTCACAGCCAGCCATAAACGCAGGCCATGCAGTTCCAGGCCCCACCAATTCGTGTTGAGCAAGGGCAGCATCCCATTTATGCAGCTCTTCAATTATTTGAGAAACATAGCCCTGCAGAATACACGGGTTTAGCTGTCTGACCCGCCTATAGAAATAGATAGCCAGGGCGGAGTTGAGAGCCTGCCACATGTGCGCTTTGGGCTCTCCAAGTGACCGGGGGGCTGGTTTCCGGGAGGTGAAAGAGCAGATCATGTTCTCGAGGTAGTGAGATCGTCGGTGGAGAGCGAGGTGCTTTTCTGCGCTCATGGTGCAGGTTCCCGAATGTAGCTGGCCCATCACATTTGCGAGACGAGTTGTCTGCGAGAGAAGACCCAACCATGTCTCTGAGACGCCGTTGACGGCTGTATGTAGTTCTTCGGGGAAGTTTCGTGAGTCGACGAGGTGGATATCGCCGAGAATGGTTTGGGAGTCTTTTGGATCGTCGATGTTTAGATCGCTGTCTCCATCAGTCGGAACGACGCGAAGGAAATCATCTAGGCCTCGGCTGTCGTCGTAGGGAGGAATGGTGGCGCGACGCTGCGCTAGTCTGTTCATCTCCTCTAGGTCTAGACGGCAGGACCACAGTGCTTTACAAGGAGCTGAATGTGTAATCTGATTGTGGATGACCAAGGTACTTTCGGTCAGTATTCGGATCCAGGTATATTGATAATGAAGGAGCCGAGCTCGACGTGATAGCTTTGGTTTGACTAAGCCTCGTAATCGGATTAAATACTCCATGTTAATGAGATGGCACCGGGTACCCTTATGATTTTGAGACAATATCTAGAACCAGCAATGAGCGGTGTGGCATAAGTGAGATATTAGGGAACAAATGCTCACAGAATAAGTCGCAAGGCCCAACGCAGCCATCAGCTGCTCTTTGTACTTGGCCTTCTGCGGCCCCTGGAACTCCAACTCAAGTGACTTGTTCATATGAGCTTGCGCTTCACCATAGGCGACCATGGTCAAGTGCTCCCAGTATTCACCCTGCTTGCCTGGAGCATAATGGGGATTCATCCCTAGATGATACGAGGCACAGGCAAGAATGGCATAGAGGTTTGCAAGATTGGCATGCTTTATAGCAAACTGTTTCATATAGGTCAGCTGGTCAAGGGTTATCATTGCAGATGGGATATGCAGAATGGTCCAAATTGACTTCTGCGTCATTGGCACCCAGACTATTTGGGCCACGACATGCTCATGGAAGTGGCTCAACAATAACCTTGCCTCTGATAGAATATCGGGGCTGCCCATTGTACACCGGAGCATTGGTAGTTCATGTCGAGGGGATGGGTCTTGAGTGCCATGCAATGGTATATGTGGTCTAGTTGGCGACATCAAATTCGTTGAACTGACGCCATAGCCCGAAGGAGGAGGTGTTAGCATCCATCTTTCAGGGCCTGGGTCAAGATTGAATATGTCCTCCCATTGCAAGTAGTTGTCTAGGCTTCCGAGGACATCTTCTCCGACCGATAGCTCAGCGAACGGTGCACTACCTGTTACCGGTGGGTCTTCCTCCACAGCTGATTCGATAGGGAGTCGAGTCTCTAGGTCTTTATTACTAGCCAATGGCTCTGAGTCGCCCACGAGGTTCAATACCGCAAACGGTCCGATAGATATTTCACCGTCAGGGTGTTCCTCAAGATCTCTTGACTGAGTGTCGATCTCAGCGAGGTTGTGGTCGATGGACTGGGATGCAAGCCCGCTCACCAGTTCTGAGCTCATTTTCTCCCTTTGATTTTCTTTTTCATTCTTCTTAGTGAACTGCCTTCCTCGCAAAAATTGGAGTAACAAGCCGTACTAACCGGTATACAAATGGCGGCGCACATTAGGACCCAAGCTGACTTCTAGGAGGCCATCGGGGTCTGTTGACGAACAGCCAATCCATTGTATCGCGGACCCGAAGCCATCGCAGGTCACATCGGCCAACCTGCATGTTTTGCACAGTGGACGTGTTTGGTCGCATTTTACATGTCGCCTCCTGCACGTCTTACACGCACCAAGCGACTGCGTGCGACGGTTCAACGTTTTCTTCTTAAGGCCTTTGAAGCTAGTCATAGCGTTTAAGTTGTGTAAATGATGACATTGTCTAGCCACCTGCGGTATATACAGAACGGCATCTGCCTATATCTCACCGGGGTTCGCGATATCTGGAAACACCTTCCTGAAATAAATTCGAAGTGCGGGGAACAAAAAGTGGTATTAAATCAGGTGGCGCGCGCGGGGTCTGATAAGGGCTTTGGGACCTCCACCCAAGGGCCATAACTGACAAAGAAAATCAAAATACTCTTTCCCCATATACTCTGGTAGGAGGGCTTCTGCATTGTAATGTTATTCTTCTTCTCGAGGTCTGTCAATTTCTAACGCTCGCCGGCGAGGGTTGAGGCTAGGTCATATCGTACTTACTACCCTGAACTGGCCGACCGAGTGACGCACGTAGATCCAAGCAGAGTACTAGTTAGTTAGTTCGACATCAGGCTAGGCACACCATGACGCGGGCGACTTTAGCATAAGTGAAGGCGATCATTGCATTGAACGGGGAATGACCTACACAAGATATAATTCCAGAGAAATGGTGGTGAAGACCACCGTTTAACCCCGCCCGAGATAGCTCTTTCCTTTATTATCTGGTCTATGTATATGACGGCGATAGGGACTTCTCAACGGAGGCCTTTCGCTTTCCCTCTTCCAACTCTCTCTTTCATTTATCTTCAAGCTCAAAGGTCGATGGAGTACTATAAGTCCGACGGCATATGTATGACTACCCGATCGCGTGTTCGAACGAGCTCGACATGGCAGGTTGGACCTAGGAGAATCCCGTTTTCCTCGGAAGTCAATGAGAAATTCAGGAGACTAGCGACAAACCATAGGGGTACTTGTCCAAAATCTTAGACTATCGGGATTCTATCGTGGATTAGGAACATAGCCACTCACTTGTTTATCCCCCTCCGACATAGCAGGAGCAATCCGAGCATTCCCCGTTTCGCATACCCAACAGGTCTTTCCCGCAAGTTGTTGTCTGACCTTATATTTTATACCATCTGGGAGCACATCCAACTTTGGCCATTCAGAGGATATCATAGATTTGGTTGAGAAAGCTTGACAGCCCGGAAAGAGGAGGAATCGGTCTGCGAAATGGCTTCTAGAGGAGTATAGTCGGTCTGTGGCCTCGAGGCAAGCGGCAGTGCCATGCTGGGCTTGATAGGATCGATCATCAACACACATGGTCGGAGACAAGAAGAGTTCGAAGAAGTTGAGCAAGAATATGTACATTGAAATAATAAAACAAATTGGGAAGGGTGCTTTTGGCAGATGTGGAAACTTGGAGTTATGAGGAAGAAATGTTTAGGCAGAGAGTAGGAAGGAAACGGAATCATATATTAGAAAGGTTGTATCCCCTTTCGAAGTTATCGTGAAGTAATGACCACGTTTACCATACAATGGAAGCAGCTGCTCACGGTGCTCTTCAGTACGGAATCTAATAAGGTGTGTAAGCTTCATAAAACAACTAGTCAATCAGATATCCCTGGTATTACATTTAACAGGTACTGCATTGTAAGAAAAGAAGGAAAGAACAAAGAAAACAGATAATCATGGAGAAGGGGCTGACGCACATCTGATACATTATATTTAGTGAAAAGCTAATAATGGAGCGCCATTGCCTTTACTATCGAGCTAAAACCATCCCTCACCATCCATATTTCTATTTCGAAACCAGTGGAATCCCATACAGATGAGACAACCACATCACAGGCAGGCACCGGTACACTTTGGAGGACTATTATAGCTTGGGCCGATCTAGTAGCCCTCTCCCCCATTGGGCTCATTCTGGGGCCGGGAACTCACAACCACTTTACCAATCTCGGGGATACATAATTAAAAGAAAGGCCACCTTGCGTCGCACAATTCGAGTATGGTAGGACAGTGAAGGTAGAGGGGCTTAAATATAATCAGCAAACAGTATGGCGACGTTTCCTAGCAGCCTCCAGTGGACGGGGAAACAGGTTCTCTTGCTGCTTACTTGCAGCGTTCGTTGATTCAATGTGTTGAATATCCAGGGATGCGTGATTCGGGATCCGTAAGTAATGGACAAAAGTAACGTTGTTTAACCCGTTAAGCTTAAGGAATAAGTATCGGGACGACCGAAACATGAGTAGCATAGAGGATGTTACGTACACATTGTCCAGTGTTAATCCGATATTCCGTGGCAAAGCATGAATCCATTCAGTGAGTGTGTCAAGTGCGGATTTGGCTAGAGACTCGGCAACATAAACACTGAAGACTGCAAAGTACTCCGGTTCAACGACAGGGGGAGGGGCAACATTGGACACGGATCCTCCTGGAAGTTCTAGCCGTAGGGAATGCACCCCGACAAGTAGCTTGTAGCTTGGAGTGACCCGTGGCGAATTTGTCATGAGGGTATCCATAAGTTGGGCCAGTTCAACGCTTTTGTGACCTGCTGCCCTTTTGGCCATAATCTCGTTCCACAACTTCCCGGTAAAGGAAGCACGGCCCTGGGCAGCGTTTGCTAAAGGTGTTCTGGGGCTTGTTGCTGCTAGAACTTCGACGATGCGTTCCGTATAGACTGAATTTCTCGTTGCCACATGACTGAAGCAAGAATCAAAGATAAAAACGGTGTCGACTTCGGTATTAGATGAGAGAAAGAGAGAATTGGTGTCCACTTGGGCGAGAATTCTCATAATAGCAATACTATATCGGTGATTCCCAGACGTAAAGAAAAGCTCTCCTTCCTTTTCTACCCCATGTCCAGCATAATGAACAAGAAGAAGTGCCCTTCCATTCGTTGTTAGCGCTTGGCACAACATCCCCCAGAATTTGTGATTTAGAGCCATAGTCGGTGCGCGGTCCTCAAGGGGGATGACATATTGTTCGGGCGTCGGAAATCCGAATAGATGGACAATATCACGGAACTTGTTACAATCTCCCTCGGCATTTGTCTGGTCGTTTTCCCATCGAATTGAGAGTGATGAGACAAAGCTGTATACACGAGAGCGCTGACTGACAGCTCGTCTCAACATTTCCTCGAACCCAGAAATGCTCAGGCCGTGCGGTTCGTGACTTGCGGTAGACATCTTGAGAGCAGCAGAAGTATTTAGAGGATATGATTGAAAATTATGTGAAGGATACGGGTTTGTCCAGTGAGGAGTAATGGAGGAACTAAAGAGAGGTGAGAGTATCTATAGTCACGTCAGTTACCGCCTTCCGGTGCAAGCTGAACTGGGCCTGCCTGGTAAGTAGGCAGAAGGCGACGTAATAAATGATGCAATGAAAGTGACTCACCGTGCCTTCCCATACGGGATCTGGTAAAGGCCTAGTCAATTGATGGTTCCCTTCTATTTCATTCAATAAGCATTCCATAAAAGGAAAGGATGATATCAGAGTCAATAATATGAAAATCACGCACTACTCCACGCTTGGTAAAATGTTGTTTTCTCTAAAGCTATTGTAGGGCCAAGAGCCTCTTGCTCCTACAAACAACTGTTGCTACAGAGAAACCACAGGTAACTGCTATATCATACTTGCAGTCTGAGGTATAGGATAATTTCTAGACTCAAGGGGGGGAAGGGGTGACCGGATAGGGCTGTCGCCCTTGTCACCGCCAAGTGGCATCCAGTGCTTCTGAACCACGAATATAACATGCTTCAGTTGCATAACGTTTTCGATGGAGTCCCAGAAGAAGAGGTCACAGCAGCATATGCTCATATAATGTCCATGAAGTCGTGGAACGACTCTCAAGTGGCGGCTTTTAGCCTGCCCAAAGGTCTCCCTGGAGCATTCGCAGCGATTGAACGCATCTTTGGGTGCGGCAAGACAAGTGTGCAAGCTGCAATGGCCCTATTGTGTCACAGACTGGGCTACCATATGATGATGGTTGCTCCATGTAGTGCGGCTTTGTTGGCCGTGGAGAACCAGTTGTCTAAGCTAGACACCACCGCCCCAGCCCTACGAGTGCTTCAGTGGCAAATGGAATAGCGAAACACATGTCGAGCAGACCCACAGGATATTGATGACACAGAAACCGGCCATGAGGCAGTTGGCACATGCATCAGGTTTATACAATGTCTCGCTAAATCACGACTTTCCCGTTACGATACTGTGAATGGCCATGGCCTTTATAGCTGGATCCAGGGCATCGCCAAGGATGTTCAAGAGAGGAACAAGAAGTTACTCTTTTCTTGACGCCCAGGCAGGATCACCAAAACCGTTCGTGTCAAAGGTTTACGTGAAAGTGGTTGTCTCGAGGAGATAAATTTCCCAGAAGATGTGGATGATAGAAGCCAAAAAGACGCTTGATTCTGGCATAGAAGAGGATAAGGATGCTGGCATAAATGGAGTAACAGCTCGGCATCCCACGCTATCAATGAGCGTATAGAAGTATACGACGAGATGAAGAGACAGCTACAAGACGACAGGGACGAGCAAAAGAAAAGTATGGGGGAGGCAGTCGAGAAAGCGCAGCGAGGCGAGGGAGAGAACCGTCGGCGACTACGGACAGAGTGTAAGCGCACGCTGGAAGATGATGGCCACCTAGTACAACGGCAAGTCAGTGCTCCGTCTCACATATGCAGGACGACTAACCCCCGTGCCACCACTTCGCTATCTATATCGACGACATGGCCAGACATGCCCTTCACCAACACAAGGGAGGGCAGAAGACAAAGCCTACCCATGATGAAATCGAGGCCATCAAGCAGGATAAGAATTTCTTTGAACAAGCGGTATAAATGTTGTCGGAACGCGCAGTAAGAGTTTTGTATTGCGCCAATCAAGTCGTGGACTCAGACATCGGCCACAGGTATGGAATAGTGATAGAGGACGTTTCATTCACATTCCGCAGCGTTTTTATTATCGCAGACGAAGATGGCCAATGTCTTAGTGCCGAGGCGTGGATTCCTGTCGCCACCCTCAGAAGGAATTGGGGAAAGGCGAAGAACGTGATTTCTCTTAACGAGGTTGAATTCTTAGTAAACCATCGTGAATTTACAATTTATTTTCACTCATGTCGGAGCCTCTTCTATGTGGATTCTCACATGCCCCATCTCCTCTTGAGACAACCCTCACAAGAGGGTACTAGTTATAAAAAGAGCATCATGATAATCTGGTTTTATGTCATTTTACATCACACTTCAGCCTTCCCGTAAACATGTTCTTATATTCATCTTTGTATACCGCAGCCAACAAGACACTCTACATATTTCAAAAACCTATTTAAGAATGTACTCTTATGTAGCGACTAGGATTAAAAGCTTTCCCACATGCTAGTATTCTACATGTATCCAACGGTGTCTCGAGAAAATGTACATAAGATACACACACAGAGAGAGAAGATTGGAGTTGTTAAAGCTTTACAGGAGAGCTTTAATAGATAGTCTAGCAGAAAGCTGCGCCTGTTTGTCGCCGACTAGATACAACGATGGCCATGGGAGCAGATATAGCAATGAGAGTAATGCGCGCACTTGCCTGGCACACCAGGGTAAACACAGTGCGGATGGGAACAACCACGGGCAGTTTCAAAGACGTTGGATACATCGTTTTCCGACACACCTTTCTCCGCTGAGAGCTTTTCGTAAAGCTCCAAGGACTTCATTCGTCCGTCCAGTTCGTTGCTCAGATCGTCTCCGACGTAAGCCAAGATCGGTCCATTAGGCTCTTTAATAGTGTAGCCTCCGTTTGCAGTCTCGAGATCGACATCTGGGTGGGAAGCAGTAAATTCTCGGAGGTCTTTTTCGGTGTCTAGGACCATAGCGCCGTCAGGGAGAGGGCTGTTATAACGAGTGGTAGCTGCGTAGGCCGTAGCGGCTAGGCTGATAAGAAACAGCTTGCGAAGGACGACGGTGGAAAGCATTGTCAAGAGAATAAGACAAGAGGTTCAAAAAGAAAAAAGGTTTGAAGGGCTGCTGCTTTGTTTCTTTGTATTTTCTAATGCTCAGGAAGAACGATGAGTGACAGACTGGCTTGGTTCAGGGAGACATAGGCGACTTAAATACCCGTACAGTGCAGTTATAATTCCCTCTCTATAAGCTGACACAGGACAGTTTGAATGCTTCCAGTTTATCCCTCATCTCATCGTACCACTCCGGTTACATCCCACAGCCCCGTAAGCATGGCTCATCATCCCTGTTTCTAGGATTACCAAAAGTCCATCCACGAAGGATCGGTGTTGGCTTGCCCCCCTCACCTAAACCGCATATTCATCCGTCAGCTTCTCGCCCGCGGCAATCTTCGCTTCCAACTCGGCGTTTCTGCGGTCAATCTCCTCACACATTTCGTCCGATGCCACGGCGACGACAGTCCCATCCGGATCCTTCGCGTAGTGGCCGTTGTTCTCGGGATAGAAAATGGCATACGGGTTCGCCTGTTGAATTTTGGCGGCTTCGTCAAGGGTGGTGAAGACGCAGACACCCTCAGGGATTGGGTCCTTATAGCGGGTGGTCGACATTTTGGGATCTTTCTCGCAGTAGATAGTGTGGGAGATGTGAGTGATAGTAAGACCATGTACGAAGGGGCGGAGAAGGGTAATGGTGGCAGTATCGACCCATCGATGTTCATTTATAAGATACGGCGTTGCACTAACGGATGTCAGCCCAACAGCCTTCTCATTGGCTAAGTCTCAGGTAACGTGGCCTAGGCCTGTGATAAGACTTGATTCCGATTCCTCGATCGTCACCCAACCAAGAAGCTTAAATCCGATTGGAGTGACGATCCCATCTGACTCAAGACCCTGCATTCTCCTCGGTCAACTTCAGTTCCTCTTGCTACCGAGGGAATTAGCCCTTATTCCTTGTCCTTATCCTATGTAAGTACAGCACTTGTGTAGTGCACAACTTTCCCTACCTCCTAGGTCTTTATGGTGCTCTTTGCACCCTAGACAACTGTCTGGCCGCCAATAAATTAGGCGGCCCCTACGGACTGGCAAAATAATAATAATAATAGTAAATAAAAATAAAAAAAGATAAAAATAAAAAAAGATAAAAATAAAAAAAGATAAAAATAAAAATAAATTAAAATAGACATAAGCAATACGGTTATGCATATTTGAACATAGGTATTAAACTAGTACTACAAAGCACGGTTTTGATAGGGCCATGTTTACGGACTGAGAACGATCCTTCGTCTTTTTCGGGGTCTCATCTACAGTAATCCGCTACAACAGGACAGAGCATGTTACGTTGCAATACCCAGGAAAGGCCGTACGATCGCTGCCAGTTCAAGGATAGCTAGCCCTAATGTCCAAGCGTCCCAGTTACATACACGTCCCTGATTCTATTGGCCCACAAGTGCTGTCTTTGGCGCGACTCGCAACGCTAGAGATTCATCCCTCCTCCGGTATGTTTGAGTCTCGCCTGTAAGCTCTAAAAGCTATCTGCCTCGAACTATAATTGGTATATTCTACGTCCCGCAGCAGCGCGGCGCATTGGCAGTCGTAGAGGTCGTGGAAGTGGACAGACGCATCGCGCGCTGTACCCTGGTATTTAGGAACGTCTCATCAGTCTACCCTGGAGACTAACCATAGCTTGGACATAGGCGAGGGGTAATTGTACTGGCGGTCCTGAATGAGTGGTAGCTTGTGCTGACAGTGTCATAATAGTCACTGATATACGCGCAACATTCTTAGGCCCATTGTTAGTTTCAAGCCTTTGCCAGTAATAGAACAGCTGAGTGATGTCAGCATTTGTCTCAGGGCCCATGACAGCTAAGCACGGATGAGGGGATTACGTACAATGGTGTTGGCTTCTAACTTGCTTAATAAAAGATAAGACATTTATTAACTTTTAATTTACGGATAAAGGAAGGTCTTTTATACTGTCCTAGATCATGTGGTTGTAGACAAAGGGCGTTTCGGTGAACAAAGAGCCTTTAGGTATTGTGAAATGATGAAGAATATGAGTCCCTTTATAAAAGGTAAGATTCTTCAAATTCTATGAAATTTATGAACAAAGGAAGGCTTTATATACTGTTCTAGATCACGTGGTTGAAAACAAAGGGCCTTTAGGCATCCACAGGTATTCACAATCTTTATTGAGCGGAGTTCATGTAGTGGCCTAGGTAAGGCCTCCAGGCGCCTACAGGAATTGCCCTTAGTAGTAGCTAATATATACAATCAGAAGGAATGGACTTTCCGCTCTGTACATTCAACCTCAACTTAGTACCAATCCAGCCAGGGCGACGATGTAGCTTGGCTAATAGTATAACCATAGTATTGGATGAAGTGCGTATGTGCATTTCAATAATATTGGCTGTTGATAGCTGGATCGGGAGATGTGCATAAAAAGGCCTTGCCACTAAGATACGCCTCCTCGATCAGTGTTCTAGATTATGTGTTTCAAAGCGTGTCTGCTGTCGTAGGGTCTATCTGAACCAGTTAAACTCACCCACATGCTAATAAATCCTCAATATCTCATCCACTAGTTCCTATAAATGGAAGCCACCGGCCCGTCATTTCCACAAAGGGCAAGCGAAGAGACTCCAGACGTCACCTTCAGCGTATTCATTACTCTCAGCCACATTCCCTTACCGAGTCTTTCTAATTCTTTCCTTTCCTTGTGAATCAAATCGTGCCAGCCCGAGGTACGAGTCCAAAATCAGTCGGTCCTTGACCATTCAGCCGACGTTGCTTGTTAGGTTCCAAATCCAACACCCCATGGCACGTTGAACCCTCCTTGTAGTTGAACAGCCTCGCTGCGCGATGGTCGTGACCAAACTTACAGTGACTCAGGTTCAAGGAAGGAAGAAATATCATAATGGAACCTCTCTCCTCAAGAATCTTCCGGCACGAAACTTTCAACCCGTGGATATAGGTGCATCTTTTCATGGCACATGTGATCGATTCATGCTCTTGCATTAACCGTCAACCCGCAGAAATATATAATTAGTACCATATCAGTATATGTAAAGGGACGAAATATGTGAAACTGACCTCACATCGCCTGAGAAACTTGCAATCCGACTGATTACATTTCACACCTGCCAAATCGGCCGGACACATAATTTTGATCAGGTCGGCTGTCTCTAGCTCACTAAGGTTTGCAATGCTTATCATGCCTAAGGCCAGCTGGGTCGCTGAGGATTCATCTGACTGGTTATGGACTTCCTTCTTATCATTCTGGGATAACACTTCTTGCTTCAAGCTTGACGGTCTCTAAAGCGAGTCCCTTTGTGTGTGTCGCCGCTGGCTTGTATCTGTGAGACCTTCGGGAATGTTATGATCTGCAGATTAGACTTTTCAAGTGAGATGGGCTATACATGTTCCTGCGCGAAAGTAATAGTGAGAGTATTCTCGGATGGACCGTGTTTCTCGATACGTCTAATAAGGTGTCCGAAGTTTTCATTTGCCAATGGAAGCTGAGGTGTGTGTGAGTCTTTTATGGGGGCGATCTGTTGATGTTGATATAATTAACGTACAGATAGCTTGAGAATACTAGCGGGTGACTCAGCCATGGTAACTGGAGACAACCTCATCGACAAAGGGGCGGGCGGTGTCAATGAAGGAGTAGGTAGGAGAGCATGGAGGAATTGGACAGCGATTGGGGGAGAGCATGGATGGTGAATGGTGGAAGGAGAACTCATGTGCTGGATAATTCTACCACTGAATTTTTACCTTAGCAGTATTCAAGATTTAAAAGCTAGTTCTATGTTTCATACACATACAGCCCTTTTGTATAGAGTACTGTTTCATGCGGTAGAAAGATCCACCATCTTAATCACTGCATTTACAGCGTGACCAGAGCTCACATATCAGTATTCTCATTAATCGAACTACACACAAGTCTTTCATATGAGCCAGTAGAAATACTGCTGTTCAGGATGTATGAAGACTCGTGGATCAACATGTAATACGAGAAAGAGGGGAACGTTTCGCAGCACTATGGTCGTATCGAGAAATCTTAAGGAATGTCTATATATAAATGTAGCACGTGGTTGGACCACGACAATGATACGAGAAGGCTCCAGTGGGCCCGACGTTTATATTTCAACATTACGATTTTTGCTTTAATTTTCCTTCCTAATTATCCCTCGCTTATGCTTATACGGATTAAGGTTGTCGATCCTTGGGTCCGGGGAAAATTCGTTGATGTCAATGGCGGGAGCATGAGCGAATAAACGGAGCAATCATTGAGTCTGGCCCTAAAAGTTCGCCTCTCTTTCTTCAGCCATTGCCTCCTTCATCCTGTCGCACAATTGCGTCAGGATTTTGTCCAGTAAAATCTTTGGTACGCAGTACTTCCAAGCCTGTAAAAGCCCCACAGGAGCTATAGTTACATGCTTTTTGTAGGGCTTACGAAACCAGGACGTAGTGCGGCCAAACGCATTGGAGCCATAAGAATGCGGCATTTCTCAGGATATCCGCAGCCACTCAAGTTTGACCTCCTCACTTCACGATGATCCCACAATATTTATTTTAGATATGTCACTCTCTCCCACTGCCACGATCGTGAATTTTTTCGTCTCCTACTTACATCTGTGCCGCAGACCATCTGGAGGGTGTTATCGTGACTAGCCCCTCTTCCATCCATGCCCCCCTACCCAGAGCCACAGGCTGATTCCTCTCCCCTACGGCTTCACCATCATTATTTTTATATCATCATCTGGGCTCTGCTGGCATCAATCATTCTTTATATTCCGGGTGGTCTAAGTTTCGTCGATGCCTTACTTCTCGCCTCCGGTGCCGCCACCCAAACCGGGCTCAACCCCATCGACCTCAAAGACCTGCATATTTCACAACAGATAACACTATGGCTGGTTCCTATGGTCACGAACGTAGTGTTCCTCCATTCATTGCTGGTTTTAATCAGGATTTATTGGTTTCGGAAACGCTTCAAGAGTGCCATCCGTGAGGCCAAAGCAGTATGCCACAGTCAACGACAGCGGATGAACCAAGCACTCGACTATGAGGCCCGAAGGCCGATAGGCTTGAACAGAACTATTACGGATACGACTGATACGACCACTACTGCGTTCGACTCTTCAGACAGGGACGACGAAGAGCAACCCCTACTTGGAAGTACGGATGACGAGATCTCCCCTGGGGCGTCCCCCCCGACACCCGTTCAGGGTTCATCTCCTGTCGGTTACCAGACTTTCAAGCCAGCCGCCATAGGCCCCTCAAGTCCTCGAATCACATTTTATGAATCTGACAGGGACTATGAGGCAAGGCAGAAGAGGCGATCCTCTTTTTCTCGTCGTCGCTCGTTTTCCGAGGCTGTGAACGAGGCTTTCCCACGGACAGACAGCTCCAACATGCCTGTTTTGCCGTCGTTGATGTGGCAACATTCGATTGCAAGTTATTGTGACTGGGATGAAGATCAGAAGGAGGAGCTTGGAGGAATCGAATACAGGGCGCTGAAAACATTGATGGTCATCCTGGCTTGCTACTTTCTGGCTTTCCATCTACTCGGCATTATACTGTTTATTCCGTGGATCATGACGGACTCACATTACAGTGAGATGGTCAAAGACATGGGCTTGAACCGACCTTGGTGGGCCGTATTTACCGCCGGGTCTGCGTTCCATGACCTAGGATACACCTTGAGCCCCGACTCAATGTCTTCGTTCAGGAACGCCGCATTTCCACTATTAGTGATGACCTTTCTGGTGGTGATCGGGAACACCGGCTTTCCGTGCATGCTGCGCTTAATTATCTGGTTTTTAACAAAATTTACAAGAGACGGGTCTCCCTTAGACGACGAGTTACATTATCTGCTCGAACATCCCCGACGATGTTTCACAATGCTCTTTCCTGGATCAGAGACTTGGCGATTAGCAGGTGTTCTCCTCCTGCTTAATGCTCTGGACCTTTTTGTTTTCTACACACTCCAGGAGGTGAGTTTCCACGCTGTATAAGACGTCTACGAAGGTGTAAACTAAGTAGTCATCTCCCACACAGAACCCCCAAAGCAACCCCTTCTCCCCCGGCCTCCGTCTCGTAGACGGCCTATTCCAAATCGCCTCCACCCGAACGGCCGGCTTCTCAATCACCTCTCTCGGTGCACTCCATCCTGCAGTCCAAGTCTCCTTCGTTGTAATGATGTACATCTCCGCCTTCCCAATCGCCATCGCCATCCGAAAAACGAACGTCTACGAAGAAAAAAGCCTCGGCATCTACGACGATGAAGACAAGCCCAACCCCCACGGGCTGGCCGCACACATCCAGCGCCAACTCGGTTTCGACCTGTGGTACGTGATGCTCGGGTTCTTCCTCATCTCTGTAACAGAGGGCAAAAGGATCCAACAAACCCACGGCCACGATCTCGCATTCTCTCTTTTTCCACTTCTGTTCGAGATCGTCTCCGCGTACGGAACAGTGGGCTTGTCGTTGGGATATCCCAAGACGGAAACGAGTCTCAGCGCGCAATTTAACCCGGTGTCAAAGTTGATTATTATTGCTATGCAGGTGCGTGGAAGACATCGTGGTCTGCCGCATGCGTTGGATCATGCTATTCTGTTGCCCTGTGATGTGCATCAGGATCAGCAGGGGGAGTGGTGGTGGAAGCGGTGGTTGAGGAGGAAGAGTTCGAATATTAGCAATTTCTTTTCGCATGGGAATGCTGGCGAGGATCTTGAGAGGCTTTCTCTGTGAGGTCATCATTCGGTGTGGAATCTATCAGGTGATATCCTAAATATCAATGCCTACGCCATTGTTCACTCTATGTATGTGGAATAAAATTTTGAAAATCAACAAGAATATATCTTCTTTGGCGTATTGCATATGCGCTTAATGAAGCGTCATTGGTCTTGCTTTATTAGCCTACGACCCTTACTTCCTTGGGCATAGTCTATAGGTATGTATTGGTCATGTGATCATACAATGGGTTGTTCAGCTGAGGCTGCGCTGAAACTCTTTCTTTAACCCCCCACCTCAAGACGCAGAAGAAACCCTTTGTCCTTCAATCAGGAAGGTAGGCAATCTTACTCAACTTTGGTGGAAGACCCTTCGAGTACACAATGCCTCTCCTCGACCTTCCAAATGAGTTACTACTTCTCATCATTGAAAGTCTACCGAGTGAGAAGGATGTACTTTCTATGTTAAGGGACATGTTCCCGCTTTTATTTAATTGACCAAATGGACCCGCTGTACAACCATAATATCAAATATTCTCGAAGCTCATTACTGCCGTGGTACTCAGAAAAAGGATATACAATGCTTGAAAAGGGTGCGGATATAGAGAGCACAGATCTTGATTGTTTTACACCACTAATATGCGCTGCTTCTCATGGCCATGAGGATGTGGTCAGGTTATTGCTTGAAAAGGGTGCTGATCTAGAGGCCGAAGATGACGAGGAGTGCACGCCAGTGATATGGGCTGCTAGGAAGGGATACGAGGGTGTGGTTAGGCTGCTAATTGAAAAAGGTGCCGACCTTCAGCATGAAGATGACGCCAGGTGCACGGCAATAGCAAATTGTGCTATCGAAGGACATGAAGGTGTGCCCAGACTGTTACTTGAAACAGTTCCTGACCTGAAGTATAGCCATGTGCCAGTTATATTGTCATTGTTTTGCATCTCCTCTATACGTTACAGAGTTTGGAGCCTCTCAAACCATATCTGTCCGCACCACATCAGCTTCCAGGCGAAGATCAAAATCAAAACCATCCATCCGGAACCCCATCGTTGTATATACATGGGGAAATGTCCACAATACACGCAATATGTCCTTGAACTGGTGTCCAGCTGAGCAGGACATAAATCTGTTAATCATGATACCCACACCTCCTCAGATACTCAACAACCCCAAGACAGGTTTACCAATACGCCACTGTTGCGTCCATGTAACGATATTTCCCATGCTTGTGGACTATCTTCCATGCACGCGAGATGATCTTGATGCCCCAATGACCCCAGATGGCCCTGATCTAGATATAGCTTATTATTCCGGGGAAAGAAGGTGAGCATAGTAAGGCAGGATACCAGAGTCCTAGGATGGTTCCGGGCTCATTCCTGTGCTACTTTTATTTTATAGCTGTTATTAGCGCCAGCGGACTGGGCCAACTATCAGGTTGGCTATGATCAATTCCCCATCACGATGATTTCGTTCTGTTCGAGCGTCGGACAATCTCGTGGATGCGATCCGCAAATCGCATGTGGAGAGTATGTCTCGAGGAGAAGAGGATGTCCTCTAAAGGTCCCAAGTTGCTTTGGGTTTGGTATATGTCAATAATAGCTTAATGAGGAGCCAAAGAGAAGTGACAAGTGTACACACAGATTCGACCCAGGGATTCTTTAATATCAAAAAATGCTGGATATCTACAACCCGGAAATTTGGCTAAATTTGAAAATCTAAATCTACATAAATAAATCAATAATACGCATATAGAAAGCAACTGTTTGAACCAGTCATATAACTAGCTTCGTTTGCCACGGACAAAGATGAACGACTAGCTCTGAAGGCTATCTCGTTAGAAGAACCTGATAGGCTCTCCTTCAATCGCGAGCGAGTCATGCAACGACAATCGATGTTGCACTCTGTGCGGGGCAGATCGGGGCAACAGCGAACCTCGTTTGGAGCCTAGTATCTTGGAGTCAGGGATAATTTGAGAAAGGTTACTGTTGACCCTGCCACAGCTTTAGTAGTCACAGAACAGGATATGACAAAGATACTAGTTTAAAATATGTGAAATTATCTACACATCTGTAACGATGCCAGCAGAACAGCTCACTTGTGCTCGTGCATGGTGATCTTCACTAGTTTCCGGCAGATGCTACCCAGTCACCGAACATGACCCAGTCACGGGACTGATCATCGTGCTTACCAGATCCAATTAGAGTGATACTGACGCTTTGTGAAAGGGTATTGGGTTTATTAGTACTCAAACTACGTCCACCGCTAGAGCCTCACTTTTGGTCTTGGCAGTAGGGATATTGATCCAAAAGGTACTGCATTGCAAAGCCTCAGATAGAATGGATTCCGGTTCGCAAAATACTCCCTCCCGGGTGTTAGCGCCATTACTCCCGGGCCATTATCGGTACTCTTCAAACTCTACTGACAGGACTTTACCAAAGTAGTCGTGATGCAGTGACTTTTTTTTTTTTCCTGTATAAAGTGCATAATTGAGATCACCTGTCATGTAGTCTTTACAATGCAGGTGTATGATAGGTTTCATCACATCACATCCTCCCTATAGGCCCGAATCACAAAAGCATATCTATCACGCGTACTCGTTCAATGTACTACAACAGTTCCCAAGGATAGTGGTGTATACGTTACCAAGCGACTAGCGTACTGTGGACCCCATTCCTGATAGTCTGAATTGAATGAGAAGATACACCACCAAGCAGGGACAACAGGCGAGAAAGGACCCTAGTTGTTTTATTGCCGCTGAAAATAAGTTAGCCTCCCACAATCAGCGTACATCGACATCTACACAAACAAGACGAATAAACGGTAGAGTTCAGCGATGCCTAGCTAGCAAAATAGTATATGCGATGTACACAGTACTGCAATAGGACCCGCCAGCGTATTGTATTTTCACTACACCCGTTTTGCATTATGGTAGTTGATGAGGAGGTCTGCTTGTATGCGTAATGGTGCAAAAAGAGGAAGGGAATGGTTTGAGATGACCTGACGATCTCAGCGACATACTATGTATAGCCAACATGTATGTATATACTTGCATATACGGCCCTGGAGCTTGCTGGTGCGGGCGGGGTGGACCGTCAACCTAAAGTTATGTGGGCTTGAACACGTTGTAGAACCTATCAATAATAGCAGCTGTGATCTACCTATTATTATGGTCCCTATTTGTTTCGAAAGGCCATGTGATTGATACTCTGTGATCTTCAGCCTGGTCCTGCACTAATTCCAAAATTTGAAGCGCTCCGAGTTGAAAGCAAGTCGTTATTCCTCTTTTGATTTGGGGTATGGTGATTGACAATCATGTCCATAATGGGAAGGAGAGCCTCAATAGCACAGACCTCTGATCGACATACTCTGGGCTGCCTAGTAGCCTTGCTTAAGCAAAGAGTGTACATCCGGTTTTCCCTCGTCTTACATGCTTGGCCCATGAGTGTTGTGACCTCCTGCATCATGCATTTGGAGTGTGTAAATGTGGTGGATGTCAAGATACTTGGAAAAGCATCGTATAGCGCAATTCTACTTTGCAGAAGAGGCTTTTCACCACTCTGGAAGGCGCATTGGACTTCAGGTGCTCATGAGGACACGAGCTGGTCATCGGATGCCTTTTTAAGAGCTACATGTGGAAGCTTCGTCGCATATGATTTGGCGCTTGCTGTTGTAAACGGAGGAGGGTTGACCAGAAAAGCATTTTCATTGGAAGCGTTTCAGACATGCGAGGCTGGATGAATATCCCTCATAGCAAAATGAACATTCGTGTCTAACTGAGGCAATACTATAGAGCGTATTATGGTATAAAGTGCCAGTTGATATCAGACTATAAATGCTTCGAAGTTATCTGCTGTAATCCACTATTCCATCCCGATCAACTTGAAGTGTTGAACATCCCAAAGTAATCAGCTTCCAGCTCTACCACCAAACTCATTTACCTTTCCTCAATCTAAGCACCATGTCAACGGTACACAGAGTGGTGGTACACCCCAGCCGATACACTCAAGGGGCAAGTCCTTTCGAGGTGTCGACAAGCGATGCTCCGCTGAAAGATCTCAACGCCGACAGCCGGCACGTTCTAATCGTCGGCGGCGGTGTCAGTGGATTGTTAGTCGCATGGATGCTGCTGGACAAGGGCATCCGAGTGACAATTCTTGCCAAAGAATGGGCACGCACTTGGGACTTCAGCGAGCCCCGTATTACATCTCAAATTGCAGGGGCTTTGTGGGAGATGCCCCCCGGGGGGTGTGGCTTAACTGAAATCGAAACCCCAGGTGCTGGCTGGGCTACCGTGGAACATTATCGAGAATGGGCGATGCAAAGCTACAATTTCTATATGAAATATGCTGAAGTTTCTAACGAGCACGAGAAAGGAGGCTCCTCGTTGGGCCTCTCCGTCGCCAAACTTCATCAATTCTTCTATGACGATGCCATCACTTCGTGCAGCAAGAAATCGCCGAGACATGAACACTATAACAAATATGCCGCCGTCAAAACACGGATTGGTGGTGTTGAAGTGTATCCGGACAAAGAAGCAATCGCACAAAGGTTCGACAAGTCAATTATCAATCTGAGTTCCGGTGGAAACCATTTTCAAAGCGGTTACACCCATACAGCTCCGATTATCAATACCGACAAAGCCTTGGCCTATCTGATGGCCCTTGTGCAGCGAAAGGGGGCAACACTCGAGACCCGAGAGGTGAAAGATCTAAGGGAAACTGGCCAAAGGTTGCTGACGGACTACAAAGCGGATGCGATTGTCAATGCCACAGGTCTCGGTGCAAGAGAGCTAGTCAACGATGAGGATGTTTACCCTGTTCGTGGCGCCGTCCGTCGCGTTGAAAATACACGCCACAGCAAGTTCCGGCACTTAAATGACGCCTACCTGGTTCCTGCACAAATCGGGCCCGATGGGCTCCCTTCCAAGACTGTGTTTATTGTACCTCGGAACGACGATATCCTCTACGTGGGTTCCATTATCCAACCACATAACGAGAATATGAACTTGACTCCTGAATCGCCTGAGGTCCAGCAGATGTGGGATCGGGCAGGAGACTTTATGCCCAGTTTGAATCATGCAGGATTTGTGAACCACTTCCCTTTCGCCCAGGGCTTGCGGCCATTTACCAAGAAGAACGTCAAGGTCAGGGCTGACGAGGACTGTGGATTTCCTCTCGTCCATAACTATGGACATGGAGGGTCTGGGTGGACAATAGGCGTTGGAACCGCTCAGTGCGCGGTCCATATTGTCGAGACGCTTCTCGATGATAAAGATAAAACTGGTCTTTTACAAGTGGTTGGCATGCAGACAGATTGGTCTGACATTAAAAAGGAGAAATTCTCTAATGCAATCAAGGGAACCCTGGGAGCAAATGAAAAATCTGAGCTCTTAGACAAAATTCAGGCTTCAGGTGTTCCAGAATCCTGTAAAGATCGGCTTAAAAACGTGGTCAATTCGTGGTCTGCAGAATTGATCAAGGCATCGGCCAAGATCGGCAACCAGACGTTGACAGATGTTGACGACAGGCTTATCGATGATAAAACTAATCTTTTAGAAGTGGTTACGCAGTCGGATTGGAATGACGAGGAGAAAGACAAGTTTCGGAATGCTATCAACGGAACTCTGGGGGAAACTGAAAAAGCCGAGCTCTTAGACAGAGTTCGGGCCTCCAGTTTGCAAATTCCAGATACTTACAGAGATCGGCTTACAAACGTGGTCAGGCTGTGGTCTGCAGAATTGATGAAGGCGTCAGCCAAGGCTACCAACGACGCCATATATCCTATTGAGGATAATGTGTACAAGGCACGACTTTAGTACCATTGGTATTTTAGTCGAGTGAGATTGAATTACCCTGTTGGAGATGATGCCTGGATAGATCTAGCGCATAATATCCTTACTCCCGATACCTGTATTTCCTAGCAATATAAATAGTAGATTTTGGCAGAACCCGTCATAGATCCAAGATCTGGACTCAGATCCTAACCTATATGGATAACCTATAGATTACCTAACTTATCAGCATGATAACCATACGCTACTACAAGAAGGCTTAATGGAACTATTATTCTAGAATGTCAAATCACCAAAGTGTATGTGAGAAACAGCAAGATTTGGATTGCCTATATCAACCAATTCAGGATGGAACAACGTCCAACATACTAGACTGTAAAAGAAAACGTGAATGAGAGTCTCTTGCGAATCCTGTTCAAAAAGAATGAATCCTTCTTTCCGTGTTTCCTCCTGCAGCAATTCACAATACCACTAGACTCCTAAGATACAGTTAGCTTCTCTTCAACCATCGTGACATAAGGGCTTGCTTACCTTGTTGAATTCGCATACTTATCAACCAGAGTACGAAGCAATTGCATTGGCAGATGCGCCATTGAAGTTATAGCATTGTCCAAGCTTGAAAGTCTTTGTTGTGGAATCCACATAGCCTCCTTTAATGGCCCCAGGAAGGCTGCCGCAGTTATTGGGCGCGAAGAAGTATCCGTACTGACCCTTACCGCCCCAGGTTGTGATCTTGAAAGACTTAAAACCTTTGGGCCACGTCGCACAGGTGTTGTCCCAGGTGTTGACGCCTTTTTGGACGGATTTGTCGCAGTTGGTACCACTGAAGGTGTCGATTACAAAGGCGGATCCGCTGGTAGAGAGAGCAGCCATGATGGTGACGGCGGAAGCAAGGGAGAAATGCATCTTGAAAAGAGGTGGGGGGGGGGGGGGGGATTCTTGAAGTTGGATTGCTTGAAAGAGTTCAAAGTGGAAGACGAGGCTTGCTTTGCTAAAGTATCTTGAGCTGATGAGTTGTGTAGATGTAGAGCAGCGGAAGAATGGGGGTTTATATACTTGAGCTGCTGTAGCATTCATCAATGTTCGCTATACTCGTGTCCGCCATGACATAGCGATAACCTATCAGAGATACATAGAGAGACATAGGCATATCTGTCAGGCCTCCCAGATGCGTTTCCTTGAGCTAGGGGTGCGAACACACCAATCGTAAGTCCAATAGAAACAACGCAGGCAGCTTAGAATTTGCTTGTCGCAGTATAGTATTGCTCTATTGCTGCAAGGGGCCTCGGACGCCTTTATAAGGCGTCCAAGGTAAGCTTAACCACCTATCAGAACGCCTTCTCCGCAAGAGGGTTCGTGAGACGGATAGTGGCGGTGTACCCCGGAATATTGACTAACATTATGATGATCAAAGGGGGTTATAAGTTAGTTCCCGAGCCTAGTAACTAGCCAGCCAGTGCTCACTCAGCCCTATGGGAAAGAATATTGATTCAACCGAAAACAGTGATCCTACCTATAGCTTTGACACAGGACCTAACAAAATGATGCTCCGAGTTCGATGGAAATCGTCGTTATCCCTTTAGGCCGGCTAGGGTCAGGGCTTAAAGCTTGGCAGGGCGCCTGAAATTCCATTTTCTCTCGCATTCCAGTTCGTCGATTCAAACACGACGGTTCTGGGCATTTTGGGCGGTCAATCGCTTAAATCGCTGAAAAGTTTGGTCTTGAGTTTAAAGCACTACGCTCCTAAAGCATAATAAAAAGTTTTAGTTTTGCGAGCAAAGGGGGTTAGCTTGTTGCCCTGTGCTGCACGTGGAGAAGCGAAGAACGGAACCCGGTGTGGTACTACAATCGTATGTTTTACCACCTTGCTAGAATTTGCAATATGCCTTTATATCCAACTGTACAAGGCACAGGCATTGGATGGTACTGAAACAGCCATTAGCTCCCACCCACATTCCTGTGATTCCCATAACCCAACATTCTTTAAGATGATGTAAGCCAATATACTGAATGTTATACGAAGTTATTTATATATTTTACTGCCAGGAGGAATGAAGCTTCGTATCATCGTACACAGACACATTCGTTACGTGATAGAATAGTGTGTCAATGACTACCAGTCGGCAGCCATGCATTAGTAACTTTATGGTCTACAGCTATGCTCATTTCAGCATATTCGTATACCGCCCTGAATCAATCTGTACTTATTCATAATTGCTTGGCTCGGAGCGGTCACAGCTGAGATTTGTGAACGGTTCTTGTGTAGAAACTTTTGCTCAGTGATCGGTCTTGGAGTGTACTGAGTACTTAGGGGACGCTCAGAGAGTGTTGAGCCCGTGCACCACTGGCACCCCCAAAGGATGGCTCGTTCAGACCAGATCCACTGCGGTTGGCGCTAATGCAAGTGGGTTATATTCGGGGTCCCACATGGGTATTAGTATTTTACTCCTCTTCCTACGTGACTTACACCTACATTATCAGTAGTGGCTTGATTCGCTATTGCAGTCCCCAATATTTCTCCTACAAGTAGGTTCAGCTTAGTCTCCCATGTTAGGGGAGCATCCACGCGGCCATCTTCCCTGCGGACAGCGCTGCAATGTCGCTGTTGCCAACGGGCGCCAAACCATGGGTAAGTAGGCGCCCAGACATAGTTTACCGTCAACGTTACCTGCCGCATAGCAAGAAGTAACTGTTCTATCTCACTCTAGCTTTTGAATCTGGGAATCTTGGACCTTGATGCTGCGAACCTGCTAATGGGAGTAAATCAATTCCCAGCCCACCTACTACCGCAGCCACACGAGCGACGCGACTTGATAATGATTGCAGCCTTGATATTCCATCCCGAAATTTGGTTTGATTCTTTTCGACTGGATTGCGAGGATATAATCGGGAGCTGGGGCACAAGGGCCATGTAGTGTGCGACGAGAATCTGGAACAAGTCAACCCACGGTCTGCCCGAGGCGGTCAAGGCCACCGGCGCTGGGGAGATCGGCGATGTTAAAGCACAGGCCTTGAGCCATCTTCACTGTGACCATGCAGGGGGCCTGGAGGACTTCTTTGGGGTACAGGTAGGCTCTATACGTAAATGCTTAATTAGGAAGTGACCTGTCTTAACCCAGAGTGTAGACATACTCATTTGGTGCCACGAGGAAGAGTTCAAGAATGCGTTCTGGACCTTCGCTACTGGGATCAAGCGTGGCACATACCTGAGTGACTACCTTGATGTGTCACAGTTGAATTGAAAGACATTTTCCGGGCAGTCCTTCAAGCTCTTTACCGGCATTATTATGTGTGGGCGTCATTCCATTCGATAAGCTCACCCGATTCTTCCGGGCGAACCTCGCTTAGAGAAGAGCGCATCTCTTCGAAAGTGGAATGGAGAGTTCCGTCACTCATTTACTTCTTCTGATTGGGCCCTTGGCTGCAGTCTGGCTGCTTCAAGGTGTTGCGCAAGGTACGAAGACAGCTATTGCCCTCTAATTGATTGGTTGGTAGTACTGGAGCAATGTTATTGGACCTGCGTTACGTAGTCTTTTGCTGTTCCAGAGCTAGTTAATTTTATGTAGAAATTCTATCTTCTGTGACTTGTAAACAACTCTAGTTTAGTCCAGACCTTAGACGCCTGATGGGGTTCTGTCGGATATTTACTCCGGCGGCCCGTGTGGGTTATGTAGTGACTTCTATTACAAAGCAGGGTTTCTCGGTCTCGGAGATATCTCCGAGGCGACTATACATGTGCACAGTGCACTCACAAATAAAGAAAAAAGACAGAAATGAGAACAAGGAACTAGAATACAAAATAGATTTGAGTCGCCTATAGAGATCCTTGTAGGTAGTCGTAGTTCTCCAGTCGTAAATGGATCACATCGTCAACGGATGGGACATTTTCTTTGTCAGGAGGAATATAACTCAACCTACATGCTCCGCACTGGCGAACTCGTCGCCCTTCGAGGCCAGAGACTCGGTTTGTTTCGCCCTCCTCTGGACTTCATTGTCTTCATGCTGGATGAACCTGAGGGGACGCTTTGTAGATGTGGCATCTGGATCACCGGCTACGATCAATGGCGGGTTGGACCGATAGTAGGCATCCACGTCTTCCAACGTTCGGTTTGCTGCAGCACGGTTAGCATCTAGTCCATGAATTGGGCAGCTATTTTCTGTCAACTAACCTGTCTCCGGATATAGAAAGTATATAATTGGTAGGAAGACTGCATTAAGCACGGTCCACACGATCCAGAATTTCCATCCAATGTTTTGGATCCCAATAGGTGTAATCTCAACAATGGCAAAATTAGTGATCCTTTTAAATTATCACGTTAGTTCGAAGCACGTCCTAGTAATTCTGTCTGACATGGCATACCAATTTGTCGCTGTTGCAACCGCTGCTCCTTTAGTCCTCATGGGTAAGGAGTTGATTTCGGTTGGATACAACCATGGCACGCCGAGCATTCCCATGCCAAATGCTATATGGTACAGAAAGAAGAAGACAACGGACGCAGTCGCGTATGCCTTATCAATCTCTGCAAAACGAAGAAGGATGGTGATCACTAGGAAGCAAACGAACTGACCAAAACCAGAGAGCATCATTAGGCCTCGGCGGCCAAGTCTTTCGACCACTGTGACTGCCAGGCATGAAAAGATAAAGTATGATGTTGCGTTGCAGGCCGTCAATAGTCGAGCAAGGCTATTCGAGAGTCCGACTGAGTTCATCAACACCGTCGGCAAATAATAACTCATGATATTTATCCCTTTAGCACCCCACAGTTGATTAGCTGAGATGCCAGTACAAACGGCGCTCATTGTTCGAAATAAAAACACACCTTGAAGCTGTTGGATGGCTTGTGTGCCGGCGCCTAGGAGCAACCGGCGAAGGGTTTTGGTGCCGTCGGACTGACGACGGAGCAAGAGGTCTCGCCAACGGACGGCGTTATCGCGCTCGTACTGGATGCTAAATTTGATTTCATTGTGCTGCGTCGTAATATAGGGGTCATTGATAGACATTCCTTCTATACAAGCAAGCACTTCCGACGCTTCATCATGGCGATCTCGTGATATAAGCCATCTGGATGTATATCAGATTAATTCGCCACTCTCTAAGCGAGGCGTTATGAGCCTACCTTGGTGATTCAGGAAGCCATGGAACAATGAGGAACAACGTAATAATAAGGACAAACTGCAAAGCGATGGGCAACCGCCACGCGATGGGTCCCTCGTGGAAGGATAGACCGTAATTGATCCAGTTGACGATACAGTACCCACCGACATTCAGCCCCAACTCAAATATGACCAGCTTTCCTCTCCATTCCGCCTGTGCAGTTTCAGTTTGCCAGATGGGTGCCGTAGCTGTGTTCATACCATTGCCGATGCTGTACATATGATTAGCCTCTCCCGCTCCGAAATCTGGTCCAAAGTCAGATAGATTCACCCTAGCACAACCCGTCCGACGAACATCTGGGCCAAACTGTATGATGATGCCTGCAATATGGTGCCTATGGCTATAATGGCAGTGCCCAAGAGGATACATTTCTTGCGGCCCTGGCTGTCGCCGATCGTAAACGCGAGAATGGCACCGAGACAGCAACCAACGTCATAAATGGCAGTCACCGTTGAAAGTGTTTTCGTCTTCGTGGGGCCGACCAGATCATGGATCTCTAGGAAGTCTTGCGTCACGACCACGCCACCTGCGAAAAGGTGGTCAGATTTACTGTAATCATCAAGAGGGAGCAGCATACTAAAGACACCCTGATCGTATCCGAACAGCGTCATATCCACACCACAAGCGACCTGTAGTTTCACCCTTGTTATAGTCTGTTCCTGACTGAGGTTAAGCGTGAGAAAAGTCACAACTCACTGTCAGCCAAAAGGTCAGCCATCCCCCGGTCAGACCAAAGAAGGGTTTCTTGGAGGACACCA